TTTGAGCTTCTCAATTTATGGATTTTCAAATTTTTTAATGTTCCGATTTTTCAATTTTTCAATTTTTTAAATTGAATTGGATTTCTCGATTCTTAAATTTTGCGATATTTTAATTGTTCAATGTTTTGAATCTTAGATTTTTCGATTTCTCGATTTTTTGACTTCTCAGTTCTTCAGTATTTAAATTTTTCAATGAAAAAATTTTGACGTTAAATTTTCAGTTTTCTGATTTCTCAATTAATCTATTTTTGATTTTCCCACTTCTCAAAGTTTCGATTTTTCAGTTCTACAATTCTTCAATTTTTCGACTTCGCTTTATTGGTTTTTCGATTTCTCAATTTTTGGATATTTCTTTCAGTTTTGATATTTTTCAATACTTCGATTCTTTGATTTTTCGACCTCTAGATTTTTCGATTTTTTATTTTTGGATTTTCAGTTTTTTGTTTTTTATACATTAAATTTTTAAATTTTTCGATTGTTTTATATTTCAATTTCTCAATTTTTCAAGTTTTCCATATTTTAATTTTTAAATTTCTAGATTTTTCGGTTTCTCGATTTTTCAGTTCTTCAGTTCTTCAATTTTTCGATTATTCAGGTTTTTGATTTTTCAATTTTTCGATTTTTTAAGTTTGCGATTTTTCGACTCTGCTTTTTTGACTTTTCTGTTTCTCAATTTTTTAATTTCCTAATTTTTGGATATTCCGTTCAATTTTGTGATTTTTCAGTTTTTCGATTTCTCAATATTAACTTTTCAATTTTTAAATTATTAGTTTTTTTCGATTTTCCATTTTTTTTTTATTTTTCGATTTTCCAATTGTTCGATGTTTCGATTTTTGAATTAACCGATTGTTCAATTTCTCGATTTTTAAATTTTAGACTTTCCAATTTTTATTTTTTTGATTTTTTTATGTTTCGATTTCTCGATTTTACAATTTTCCCACATTTGAATTTTTCAATGTTTTAAATTTTCGATTTCGAGAATTTACTGTGTTACAGTAGTCATCACTAGACAGCGGATTTCTGTCGGGCTACGTCACGATTATAGGTGGGGAGGCGCTGGATCGCCGGCACACAGTAGCAGCGGGTAATAGATAATCACTCAATTTAATCGTCACTTATTCCATAAATACAACTAACGATCTATATTAATCAAACGGCTAAGTAAATGAGAACTGGAATTAACAACAGAGTGCAACGAAGCAGTGTTATTCTAATCTCAAATAAACGAAGTGCAGCCCGTAACTGCAATGAATTCCCATCCCGTACGAGTCGTACCGAGTTTGGCCTTGCCTAGCCCGACAGAAATCCGCTCTCTAGTCATCACTCATCAAGAACGATTATTGCTGTGCGTTCAAATGCCTACATACTGATAAGCACGTACATACAAGACGCATTTAAGACTATTTTAAGTCTGCTACATTTAATTTTTGCGATTTTAAATTTATTTCTTGATGTCTAAATCGTATATATTTAAATGGTGGTAAATATTTTGTGATAAAATGCATTTTAGTTTCGAAGACAATATGTATTTAGTGATTTGACTACTGTTAATAAAAAAAAATACGTAAGATGTTCATACTGAATTAATTTGGTGTTCATAGTTTGATGATAACCCATAGTTATTCTGGAGGCAAACTAGATAACTTCTTACATATTAATTAAAGTAGTGGTCGTTTAATTTTGTGCCTTTAAAGTGGTGGACGAAGGGACGCATATATGTTAGCCATGCAGTTCATGGACAATATACTGCGATAATATTAAATTTTTGTTACCTTAACCTTTATTTGTTTTTGTGCAAATATACGTGCTACCACATACAGGAAACAGGTATGCACTACATATAAATATATTACATATATATGTAAAGTCTTCAACACGTACGTTCGCTTATTTTGTGACTGCTCCCCGTACAACGTACTCACTAATACGTCCGTTTACTACCTTATCGACATCACGTGCTTACAGACTATTTTTACCTCCTTTCGTAAGGTACCGCCACTTCACAGTGAAGCGAGTGAGATGAAAAATATATGTTCATTCTTTTCTACATGGGAAAGTGATTCTCCGTATAGGTTGTCCAACTATAATATACTTAAACAATGATAAAACTGATTTTGGCAGATCACATATTCTCTAAGAAAAGAGAGGGCCGGTGGGCGGGGCTAGTACCTACTAAAATAAAACTGATTTTGGCAAATGACCTATCCTTTAAGAAATTTAATTAAATCATTATAATAAAAGACACTAGAGACTCCAAAGCAGTTTCAAATTATTTCCAAACAGGAATACCTAGAACCTCAAAATTGTTTTAAATTTTTCAAAAAACAAACTGGTTCCCACGATTAGCTCAAAAACTGGATAATGAAATCTACAAGAAAATAAATTTCGAAAATAGTTGAAAAATGGTCCAAAGATGTTAAAAGCGCCAAACTTAGTTTTATATAATCAAATACTAACCCCGCCCACCCACCCTCCATTTTCTTGGAAGGTATTTGATTTGCCAAAATTAGTTTTATCTTAGTAAGTACTAGAACCACCCCCCCCCCATTCTCATCTAACGACTAATTCATTTTATTTCTGTTCAGTATAAGATCATTCAAAAATAAGGGTGGGTGGGCGGGGCTAATTATTTTCTTCTGTTGTTTAGGAGGTGAAAAAAGTAAAAAAAAGCGCCAATAGTAACTTTTTATTATTATTCGCTATAGAATTTGTTTCTTACTTCATGTACCTGACTTGACTTGACTTAACGTGACCTGACCTGTTTTGATTTTTCTATTGTCTTAAATTAACAAATTTTAAATATTTCTGTGAATTTACAAGAAACTGTCCAATTAATTTTCGAAAATAGTTGAAAAATAGTCGAAATTCTCAAAAGTGCCAAAATCAGGGTGGGTGGGCGGGGCTAGTACCTGTCAAAATAAGAGTGATTTTGGCAAATAATAATAATAATAATAATAATAATAATAATATTTATTTACAACTTAATAAATCATGTACATTGTTATGTAAATGACTTACAGTTACGTCAATAAACAAGAAATTTAGACATTAACAGTAACAATACTATTGTGTCAAACAGAAATAGTAACAACAAACACAAATGAACAAGAAAGCTTTACTAAGCAGCAAGAAAATCGCTTATACAATAACAATTTAATCCCAGCAGGTACGATTTAACTTTAGCTTTAAACTTTAAAATATTATTTACCTCTTTTATATCAGTCGGTAATTTATTAAACATTCTGCAAGAATTATATTGAAGACCTTTCTGGAAATATGTCGTATTATGTTGTCTAGGTAGCAAGTGGTCCTTGTGTCGAGTATTATAGGTGTATGAGTTTCTACTACCTTGTAAAACTTGTACGTTTTGGAAAGCATAGCAAACAACATTATAAATATATAGACTTGGTAATGTTAAAATCCTAAGTTCTTTGAAGGCTTTCCTGCAAGACTCCCTTCTTTTCAAACCAGTAATAATTCTAATGGCCCATTTTTGAATAACAAAGGCCCTTTGGGCTTTAGAAGAAAGACCCCAGTGCACGATTCCGTATTGCAAAATACTTTGAAAGCACCCGAAATAGAATATCATAACCGTATTCAAATTGCATTGTCGCACTAGGTTACGCAAAGCATAACAAACAGTTGCTAATCTTTTGCATAGATTTTCTAAATAATACGTCCACGTCATTTGACTGTCTAGTGTCAATCCTAGTAATTTTACAGTCTGTGAGAGCTTCATATTTTGATTATTGAGCAATACATCATGCAAATGACTTATCCTTTAAGAACTTTAATTAAATTATTATAAGAAAAGACACTAGAGGCTCCAAAGCACTTTCAAATCCTTTTCAAACAGGAATACCTAGAAAATAGTTGAAAAATGGACCAAAAATGTTAAAAGTGCCAAAATCAGTTTTATCTTATCAAAACTAGCCAAACATTCTTTATGATGTAGATTACAAAAAAACCTAATTTAATAAAAGTAAAATTGGCAACACTGCACAAATCTAATGCGTGAATATCCTCCGGCTTACTTTCTGATTTCTTAGTAACGATGGTGACTGAAATCCACTTTATATTTTTTTTAGGACAATAATTCATTAATAAATACACCAGAAAAAAACATTTAATAAGATATTTATAAATTATAAACAAAAACAAACCCAGCAAAGAAAAATCCATTAAAACATAACCAACTAAACACAAGAGAAGATGTTCAAAATTCCTGCCTTGTGCATATAAGTAAGCTCGTAATGTTTCCAAATTTTGATCATTTTTTGTAAAAGTTAATTGTCAGTACTTGCTAAGAAAAACTGATTTTGGCAAATGACATAGCCTCGAAGAAAAAAGAGGGTGGGTGGGCGGGGCTAGGACCGGCTACGATAAGACTAATTTTGGAAAATCCGATAAGACTGATTTTGGCAAATGACATAACTTGTACGAAAAGAGAGGGTGGGTGGGCGGGGCTAGTACTTACTAAGATAAGACTGATTTTGGCAAATGACATAGCCTCTAAAAAGAGAGAGGGTGGGTGGGCGGGGCTAGTACTTCCTAAGATAAGACTGATTTTAGCAAATGACGTATCCTCTAAGAAACTTAATAAAATTATTCTTTGTAAAGACACTGCAGGCTCCAAAGCACTTTCAAATTCTTTCCAAACAGGAATACCTAGAACCTCAAGATTATTTTAAATTTTTCAAAAAAAAGGGGCCCAAAATTAACTCACAAACGGTCAGTTCAGGATTTTCCAAAATTAGAACACCAAAGTCCCCCAAAATTGTTTTAAATAATTTACAAAAAAAAATTCCATGGGCTCCCAAAATAATATACCAGGGTATCCAAGAATCTCCCGAATTAAAAAAAAAAAAACAATGCGGCACTCAAGACTTTTTCAAATTCGTAAAAATAAAATACTGAAGATACTTTTATTTAATATTTAATTATATACTTTTTCTTAAAATTTATTGCATTTGTAACATCCTGTATATGTGAAGCCTATGATGAAGGGCTCCGAAGAATTTCCCTGTGTCTCGGCGGCACAATCCGACACTGACCGGGACGCTCCCCATTTTATGGATGTGTATTTCGTAAGATTTTATGGGCCGATATGTATTTAAATTTAAAAATCAAGTACTATGAAATGAAAGTCAGTTAAAAAAAAAGAGGAAAGAAATCTCTGTACATAATGAAATGAGTAATGAAAAAAAGTAGTTACAAGTTAGGGAGTGTAATAATTAGTGTCGCAAATATCCGCCGACCCCATAACAACCCATCTATCCCGACAAAAGTCGCCGCTTCTGTTTCGGTACCAATATTTCACTTCTTAATGACGCCGACACCTGTTAACTTGTAAAGGAACCGCCGCCAGGAGTCAAAGGAACAAAGTATAAATTTTTAACCGTTTTCATCCCACCCTGCCAATTTCAGTTTGCTCACAACCACAGCAACGATCACACCGTTCTTACTTAAGTACCACCCACACCCAGTAAGTACAAAATCAACACATTTTCACCCCCATGTACAATTTTTTTTTGTTTGTTTATAGTGGCTCATTACCACAAGTCATCTTCGCCCTTCTCCCCAAAGAACACCAACAATGTGCCAATTAACAACCACCAACACCCACCATCCCCTTTAAGAAGCATAGAAAATATCAACACAAGATTATTATGTACGCTATGTCGAAAAAATGGAGAACCGCCCGAAGTTTTTTTTTCGCATTGTCTGAGGTCTGTGGACGGGAAAATTATGTGTCCTGTTTTAAGGAAACATATTTGTGATTTGTGTGGGGCCACTGGAGATTACGCACACACGAGGTCCCACTGCCCCCAGTTTAATTCCGAAAATGTGCGACCGACACCAAAGTACAGGATTTTGTCGAACGGGAAGGCCACAAGAATTATTAATCATAAATAAGACTTTCTTAAGTGATATTTGTGTTCTTTTTATGGAATATATTTTGTGTTCTGATATTTTAGTTTGAGTATGTATTGTGTTAGGATATTTGATTTGTGTACAATTTGTATTAATGTTGAATATATTGAGAATATAGCGTGAGGTTTTTTTTCTCTGAATATAGGATAATTAATGTTAAGTTGGTTGCATACCTGCTTGACTTAGACTTTTAAAAACTGAACATATTTTAAGTCTATCTAGATTCTTTAAGTCTTCTCGACTTTTTAGATCTTCTATATCCTTCACATCCGTTGATTCTTGAGATCCTTTCCATTTCTAGGTCCCTGAAATTCTATTGATTTTTTATGAATCCGTAGACTTTTCAAACCCTTGGGGTTGTTTCTAGGTCCTCTATATCCTTTGAAGATTAATCTAGATCCTCTCAATTAACCTAGATAATGCAGATCTTTTAAATCCTCTAAAACCCTCAAATCTTCTAACCTTTCACTGGTGATATCCTTTACTCCTTTTAGATAATTAACATGCCTTGCATTTTCTAGATCCTCAGAGCCTATACTTCTAGATTCTCCAAATTCTCTAGACTCATTAAATCTTTTAGACCTTTTAAAATCTTTCACATCCATTAGGTATATTTTAAAGTGTTTAGATCCTTTAGCTCTTTCATATCTTTCACATCCTCTCTCTGTATCTTGTAGACTTTTTAGATTCTTTCCATCATTCACATCCTCTGGATCTTATGCCATTCTTCAAATCCCTGAAGTCGTCCACATCTTATGATCTTTTTGTATCTTCTCTGCCTTCTGAAGAATTTAGCTAACCTACATTCCTAGATAATCTAGATCCTGTAAATCTTCTACATCTTTTGAATTTTCGAAACATTTAGGTCTTTTTGCTGTTTGAACCTCTAGATTTTTAATATTCTTCACACCTTTTGATCCTTGGGATGCTGTAGAGCTTTTAGGTCTTTTAATCTTTCTAAATCCTCTAGCGACTTCAGATCCTTTAAATTCTCCAGAAAATCTAGATCCGCTAGATCTTCTAGACTTCAAATTCTTTAAATCCTGCACCGCCTTTGGAATTCTGAGATCCTTCACATTCTTTAGATTCATGATTTCGTTCACATCTTTTAGATTCCTAAGATCCTACAGTTTTTTAGGATCCTGTAGATTTTACAACATTTAGACCCTTCGGTTCTTTGGAACTTTCTGGATCCCTTCTGTGTTCTGAAGAGTTCATCTATGCTCTAGGTCTTTTAAATCTTTGAGATATTTAGATTCTTTAAATTCTTCAAATTCTTTGGCTGTTTGATCCTTTAAATAACTGAGATCCTTCACATCTTTTAGATTTTTAAAATTCCTCACAATTTTTAGATCCTTGGGATCCTGTAGATATAAGATCTTTTAGATCCTTGTACATTCTGTACGCCAGATTATGTAGATCCACTAAATCTTAGGCATTTTAGATTCTTTAAACTCTTCACATCCGTCTGATTCTTTAAGTTCTTTGAAATCTTCTGGATCTTATCTTCTGAATACTTTAGTTATCCATAGGCGTATAGTAACGTTCTTATTAATGAAAGTTAGATTAGCAGTTAAAGTTTTTAGTAGATCCGTAGCAGATTCGTTGGAGTACTGTGAACAAAAATTAGGTGTGCCTGAGTTCCAAGGCTGTGGAGCTACAGTCAAATTTATTAGAATAAGGAATGACTGTTTCGATATACTTAACAGCAGATCTTTAATTCCTCCAGGCCATAAGAAAGCTTTATGTCAAAAAAATTTTGAAAAATCTGACGAATTTACACATTCAGCAATTAATTATATTTCTAAATCAAAGTTGATTAATAATGAACTTCTTATTGGTTCTAATCTAAGAATTAAATGTAAAGAAATTAAAAAATCGAAAAACTAAAAATCGAAACACTAGAAAAACCAAATTGAAATTAAAATATCAAAAATTGAAAATCGAAAAATTGCAACATTTAAAACTGAAAACTACAAAAATTGCAAAATAAAAACCGAGAAACTAAAAATGGAAGAATTGAATAAACCAATTTGTAAAGATCCAAAAATCGTAAAAAAATGCAAAATAAAAATATAAGAATGCCGTAAATGAAAAATAGAAATATAAAAACTTAAGAAATTGAGAAGTCGTAAAATTGAAAAATTTAAAACTAAAAACTCGGAAAATTCCATATCGAAAAATTGAAGAAACGAGCAGTTAAAAATAAAAAAATAAAAATCTAGAAACAAGGAAATCGAAAAATTGAAACATTTAAAATTGAAAACTAGGAAAATTGCAAAATAATAATCGAGAAAATAAAAAAAGAAAAGCTGAAAAAACCAAACTGAAAACATCCGAAAATTATTAAATAAAAATCCAGAATAAAAATCTAAGAATGCGATAGTAATTGAAAAGTAGAAATATTAAAAATTAAGAAATTCAAAAATCGTGAAATTGAAAAGTCAAAAACTTGCAGAAAGAAATCATTAAAAAAAATGGAAAAATTAAAAATCTAGAAATCTTAAAGTTGGGAACTTCAAAAGTTGTAAACCAAAAAATTCAAACATTTAAAACTGAAAACTTAAAAAATTGAAAAACAAACATCGTGAGATTAAAAATCGAAAAACTGACAAGACCAAGTTGAAAACATCAAAAAATTATAAAAAAATCTAAAATAAAAATATAAATCGGGAAACTAAAAATCTAAGAATGTGATATAATTGAAAACTAAAATATTACTTAATTCAGAAATTGAAAAATCGAAAAATTGAAGTAATTAAGTAATTAAAAAAAATCAAAAAATTGAAAATCGAAAAATTCAAACGTTAAACTGAAACCTAATAGAACCAGAATAGAAATTTGAGAAGGCGAAAATAATTGAACGATAGAAATTTGTATTAAAATTTAAAAAAACGTAAAATTGAAAACTTGAAAAAATGTGTTTCAAAAAACCGAAAAATTAAAAGTTGAAACATTTAAAATTGAAAACTAGGAAAATTGAAGATATCAAAAAATTGTAAAAAAATAAAAATCGTAGAATGCGAATTATAATTGCAAACCAAAATATTAAAAATTCAGAAATTGAAAAATCGTAAAACTGAAAAATTGAAAATTGAAAACTGGAGAAACTCCATTTGGAAAAACTGAAGTAATTAAGTAATTAAAAAAAAATTGAAAACCAAGAGACTAGGAAATCGAAAAACTGAAAAACTCAAAAGTTGAAAATCGAAAAATTTGAACCTTGAACTGAAAACTAGAACAATTGCAAAATAAAAATTGAGACACTAAAATTCGAAAAAACCAAACTGCAAATATCCAAAATTTGTACAAACAAATCCAGAATAAAAGTCTAAGGATGTGATAATTGCAAAATAGAAATTTGTATTGCAATTTAAAAAAATGAAAAAAATGTAAAATTAAAAACATTTAAATTGAAACTATCCCAAAATTGTAGAAAAAAAAATCTAGGAATTTGATAATTGAGAAATAAAAAAATATTAGCAATTAAGGAATTGATAAGCTTAAAATTGAAAATTTCGCATCGAAAAATTGAAGAAACCACAGAACGTATAATTCTGATTAGCCAATTACCATGTGTGTAAAATTTAGTAGCAATGGGTTTCGTAGTTTTTGCGTTCACTTGTAAAATTTTGTTGCACATTTTTGAACTTTTTTCCAAAAACGTGCATGCATAATGTCACAAATAAAATCAGTTTAAAATTTCACAACAATCACTCCAGTAGTTCCAAAAATGTACTTCTAATTTCTTTAGATGACGTCATCAAACCTTGGGAAGGAATGATTGGGGAATTCTGATTATCGATTTACCAAGTGTGCAAAATTTAAATAAAAGCAATGGAGTTAGTTGTAAAATTGTGTTGGACAATTTCTTTCTTTATTTTTAATGAAAGTATTCTGTTAAACTTAATTAATATTTTAAAACTTACGAATTATTATCATGTGACCTTGAAAATGGCTCACCGCAACCAACAACAATTTTACGAGAAAAGATAAGATAAATTCTTCCTGGAACTACGTCTTATATTGTTTTTCAGAGAAAGAACACCGCAGCTTTCTTAGTATAAACTTACTTTGCAATAAAATGAAGATCCAAAGAGTTCTACTTCCACAGTTGCGCAGCTTCCGAGCTGAATTAAATCGGTATAGATTTCGTTTCCTAATAAAACCGAAACTTTTAATAAAGAATAGCTGCAACAACCGCTTCCTATTTTTGTAATTATACAGGGTGAGTCATTAAACGCGCAATATGTCATTAATTTTTATAAACTGAAAAAAGTCACTAACTAAATTTGCACAGGTTTTAGAGGACCATAGACTAAAATTAATGTCAACTGCACAGAGTGTTTAATTTTTGAAGCATAGTACACAACTTGGTGTTTTTGAATAGAACAGCCTATATGTATATTTTTACATATTCTCATTAGATTCATCACAGATTTTATAACCATAATTTATTTTTGAAATGCTGATGCGACGTTGCCAAGTTATTCCGATTCTTTGCGGACTTTTTTTAGCAATGAAGCGAATTCTTCCACCAAAATGTTAACCAGAACCCCCATCATATAATTACTGTGCAGTAATTTAATAAAAGTATGTTATTTGAAAAAAATAGAATATGTAAGGGTTTTTTACGAACACTCAGTACATTAATACTCTATGTTACATTTATACCACTATTCACAGCTTGTTTATGTTCTTGTAAAATAGTATTTCAGATTTTAAAAATAACCACTTTACGATTTTTTATGTACCTTTGCATTGCCAAAAATTTGAAAAGTGCAAAAATATATATTTTTCTAAAAAAAAAACAAAGTTGTGTGTTAAGTCTCTAAAATAGAACACTCTGTATAATTGATAGTGATTTTAGTGTATGCTACTCAGCTCTGGTCTAAGTCTTTTTTTTATTTCTAATGAGTGAGATATCGAGGAGTGCGTCCGTAGTGACTAACCCTGTATATTGTATTCTTGCAAGATGATTACTGAAGATGATTATTGAAGACAAATTTTTAGATAGTGTAGTAACGCATTAGGAAAACAGCGCATCACATTTTTATATTAATATACAGGGTGAGTCAGTAAGCACCTGTTGGTCTACTTATATCTGATGAATTATTAAAAACAAAAAAAAGGTCAAGAACTGAAGTTGTAGTACGGTTGTCTGAGTAACATACACTAAAATTATTTTCAACTAGACAGAGTGTTTAGTTTTTGAGACATAACACCCAACTTAGTTTTTTAAGTTTATACACGCCCTATATTTTGGCTTCGTCCTAGGCTTTAAGATCGAATTCTATTTTTGAAATTCTTGTTGAAAGCTAAAAAAATGAAAAATAGAACTCGCTTTCAGGAAAATTCGAAAAACTGAAAAAACCAATTTGAAAATATCCAAAAACTGTAAAAAGTCGAAAATAAAATCCAAGAATGCGATAATTGAAAAACACAAATATATTAAAATTTAAAAAAATGAAAAACGGAAAACTGAAAAAGCCAAAAATTAAATTCAAAAATTGAAAAATTGCTGAAAATCAAAAAATGCAAACCTTTAAAATTGAAAACTAGAAGAATTATGAAATAAAACTCGGTCTTAAAAATCGAAAAATGGAATAATTGGAAAATTGCAAAATAATTGAAATATAAAAAAAAAACCAATCGTAAAATTGAAAAAGTTAAAATTGAAAATTAAAATAATTCCGTATAGTACTTGATAAGATAAGACTAATTTTGGCAAATCACATACCTTCCAAGAAAATAGAGGGTGGGTGGGCGGGGCTAGTGTTTGATAAGATAAAACTGATTTTGGCACTTTTAACATTTTTGGACCATTTTTCAACTATTTTCAAAATTAGGTGAAGACATTTTCTTGTAGATTCACAGATATGTTTAAAATTTGTTTATTTGAGACAATAAAAAAATCAGGACAGGTCAGGTCACGTTAGGTCAAGTCACGTGAGGTAACGTGAAATAAGAAATAAATTTTATAGCAAATAGTATAACAAAAAAAAATACGATTGGCGCTTTTTTTTACTTTTCACATCCTTTTTCCACTCCGACACAACAGAAGAACATAACTAGCCCCGCCCACCCACCCTCTATTTTTTTGGAGGGTATGTGATTTGCTAAAATCAGTCTTATCTTAGCAAGTACTAGCCAGCTGATTTTGGCACTTTTGAGATTTTCGACTATTTTTTAACTATTTTCGAAAATTAGTTGGACAGTTTCTTGGAAATTCACAGAAATATTTAAAATTTGTTAATTTAAGACAATAGAAAAATCAGAACAGGTCAGGTCACGTTAAGTCAAGTCAAGTCAGGTACATGAAATAAGAAACAAATTCTATAGCGAATGCTATAAGAAAAAAGTTACTATTGGCGCTTTTTTTACTTTTTTCACCTCCTAAACAACAGAAGAAAATAATCAGCCCCGCCCACCCACCCTGATTTTTGAATGATCTTATACTGAACAGAAATAAAATGAATTAGTCGTTAAATGAGAATGGGGGGGTCTAGTACTTACTAAGATAAAACTAATTTTGGCAAATCAAATACCTTCCAAGAAAATGGAGGGTGGGTGGGCGGGGTTAGTATTTGATTATATAAAACTAATTTTGGCGCTTTTAACATCTTTGGACCATTTTTCAACTATTTTCGAAATTTATTTTCTTGTAGATTTCATTATCCAGTTTTTGAGCTAATCGTGGGAACCAGTTTGTTTTTTGAAAAATTTAAAACAATTTTGAGGTTCTAGGTATTCCTGTTTGGAAATAATTTGAAACTGCTTTGGAGTCTCTAGTGTCTTTTATTATAATAATTTAATTAAATTTCTTAAAGGATAGGTCATTTGCCAAAATCACTTTTACTTTAGTAGGTACTAGCCCCGCCCACCCACCCTCTCTTTTCTTAGAGAATATGTGATCTGCCAAAGTCGATCTTATTTTAGCAAATACTAACCCCGCCCACCCACCCTCTATTTTCTTAAAGAATATACCATCTGCCAAAATCAGTTTTATCTTAGCAGGTACTAGCCCCGCCCACCCACCCTCTCTTTTTTCGTCTCTGGGTCTTCGAGAAATTGAAAAATTAAAAACTGAAAAATTCTAGCATCATAAAATTGAAAAAGTGAAAATTTTCAAAATTATAGTTATGAGACATTTAACATGAAAACTAAAAAAGTTGAAAAATCGATTTTTTAATTTGTTTCTTCAATTTTGCGATTTTTAAAATTGTTTGGGCTTTTCAATTATCAGATTTTTAATTTTACAGTTTATCGAAATTTAAGTTGTCTATTTTTTTATTTTTTAGGTTCTTAATTTTTATTTTGTAATTGTTCTTTTTATATTTTAGATACTTTTTCACTTTTTAGGTTCTCCTTGTAAATTTTTATTTTTTCAATCTCTCGTTTTTATAATTTTTAGACATTTGAATTAGTAACGAAGTGACTTAGTGACTGATTGATTGACTCAGTAACTTATTGACTGAATTGAAAAAGTACAAAAAAAACAAAAAAAAAAAATCAGAATTGAAAAATGCAAAATAAAAATCTAAGAATGCAATAATTGAAAAATCGAAAAATTAAAAATTGAGAATCCAAAAATCGTACAATTCTAATTAGCGAATTGCCATTAGCATTGTTTTTCTTTAATTTTCTATACGTAAAATTTTGTTGTACAATTTTGAATTTTTTTCCAAAAGTTTGATTATCGATTTACCAGGTGTGCAAAATCTAAAAGCAATTTTTTCCAATAACCATAGACAATAATTTTATATAAATTGGAATAACGTGGCAACATCGCATAGAACCCTCAAAAATAAATTATATATCGAGGAGCGCCCGTAGTTACTCACCCTATATATTTTGATAATTTTGCAATTTAAAGACATTTTTTTTTAGATAGTCCCCGATGTTTACAACGCATTGGGGCAACAGCGCATTACATCTTTATATTTATATACAGGGTGAGTCACTAAACGCCTGTTCCTCTATATCTCATTAATTATTGAAAACAAAAGAAGTCAAAAACCAAAGTTGTACGGTTCTTTAGTAACAACATAGCTGGAAATATTTTCATTTGAATATTTGAAATATAACACACAACTTAATTTTTTAAGTTTATTTTCTATATCTAAAGTTGATGGTTTCTGCAATTTTTGACTTTTTTGAAAGACGCAATAATAAAATACAGAGTGTTCTATTTGTAAAAACTGAAATAACGGTGTGAATATAGGGTGTTCTATTAAAAAAACTAGTCGTAGAACACTCTGTAGTTGAAAATAAGTTTTGTGTATGTTACTCAAAGAACTGTACAACTTTAACCTTGTTTTCAGTATTTTTAATAATAATTCGCAGGATATCTAGGACCGCGTATTTAGGAACTCACCCTATATATTTCATTCTTGCGGTATTGTAGTTTGATTTTTTGTGTTCTTTGTTCTTATAAAAAAATGTATAGTGCGTCAAAGGTTTTTTTTTTAATTTCATTTCTGTGCACTTCTTTCTTCAAAGATTTCAAAAAACGTGCTGAATAATGTCAAAATTTTCAAAATAATATACAAACTAAAGCAAGTCACTTTTTTGAAATTGAGACAACTAAGTCTGGACGTTGTTTCCTAGGGGTGCCAAAAATGGTACGATTGTGATCAGCGTCAGTTCGCTCCTCCCGAACTTAGTTTGGGCGAAATGTTGAAAAGCTGCGCCACTGATAGGCCCGAACACATGTTTGTGAAACGTTGAATTAGTATAATGTTTGATAAATCCCCCCTTTGAAGGGCTCCCCTTCAGATAGGTATGTCGCGTGCGTATTAATTAATGGAATTATCTATTAGTTGGTAACTTAGTAAGATAATGCAGCTTCTGTATATTCCTCCTTGACACCCCCGATTAAAATCCCCGATACTCGCTCTCTCATAAAATTTGCAGAAGGCAATGTTGCCAATAAAACCCGCCACCAAAATAATGAGACAACTTTTATTTACGTATTTAAGATTATCGCCTTGCCTTCTTCCCGTTCGTTCCAGCTCTCCACTCCGCCTTTTTCTCGGATAAATCCTACCTGAAATGGCGTGATTTTTGCTAGCCGAGCGAAGTATGGTAATAATGGGGCCATTTGGCGACGTCTAAGTTTTTAGTTCGGTGGTTTGTAACAATTTATTAAATAATCTCCACAAGCACCACAAATTATATTTATATTTTTAGTAAATTACATTGATTGAATATGATAAGCAAACTTGACGTATTTCTGTTTTCTCCACAGGACGAAGTACTGGCCATTTCGGAAAAAGTCGTCCTGCGAGTGGAAGATTTAATAACGTGGATCACGGTGGATGCAGAATGTACATGGGGTAGATTAGCCAAGTGCGAGAAGGACGTGAAGGACCCGCCAAAAAGCGAGGAGGGCAAAAACGTCATCGGATCGCTTACGGAGAGCTCCTTGGATTTCTCGGACGTGGAGAAAAAAAGGAAAGCGTCAGGTGGGCGATTAATGCGTTTTTTATGGTTTTAATTCGATGGACACAATGTCATTTTGTGCGGTATCGATGTCATATTTGGTGTTCTCCAAACCGGTGGTCATGTTGCAGCAAACGAATATGAAATTGCCGGGACAGGGTAAACTGAAACAAGAGCAAAATATGTCAGGGTTTTTATTAAAATGAGTTTGTTGGAGGAGACGTTTAGCGAAAGAATGCTCCACCTAAGGGAGATTCTTAAATGAAATAGTTTTCGCGTTGTCGCTATATTAGAGACGAGTTTGCGGAAGTTGTTTTAGTTTTTTTGAAAATTCTTGCTTGGGTGGGAGTGGGTACTTAAGGTGGAAGTGCAGGGAGATTTAAAGTGGGTAACGTAAATGTCAATGCGGCACTAATGTAGGTACGTTTACTGGATTTTAAAGTTGGTTTTATGTCCATTGTAAACTACTTGACCGAAGTTTTATGTTAAAATTGATAGTAAAAAATAGTGTAAGAGATGCTTAAAATGTAGTTGAGTGAAGTGGTTTTTAAGGTAAATTGTTGATAAAAAATACACGGTTATTTTGTTAAAAAATGAAATTTGGTCATTCGGTGATCATATATTTTTATCATAAACCGAGAATTTTGACTTTTCGTATGATGAAAACAATGACAAGATGCATAAAAAAATCGAATTGACAAGTGTTTTTGGCCACGTTTAACCTCAAATTTATTTTATAAATAATGATTAATACTCAGAAATAAAATAATACTGAAACTGATAATTTAGAGATTATGGGTTTATTTTTCTAGTGTGAAATTTCTGGTTTTCCAATTTTTGGTTTTTCGATAAATTATCAACTTTTGAATAATCGAGTTTTGGGAGTTTTGAATTTTCCTATTCTTCAAATTTTCTATATTTTAATTTCAGATTTTTTAAATTCTAGATTTTTCGAGTTAATTTTTTAGTTTTTTGACTTTTTAAATTTTACTTTTTTCGATGTTTCGATTTTTCGTTTGTTCAGTTTCCCGGTTTTTCGGTTTTTGGCATTTTCAATTTTCGATTTTTCATGATTTTTCGATATTTCGATTATCCGACTGTTCGATGTTTCCACTTCTCGATTTCTCGATTTTTTAGGTTTTTGATTTTTCAATTTTTCGACTTCTCGGTTTTTCAATTTTTCGATTCATCAAATTTCCTCCGATTTTTCAATTTTGTGATGTATGGAATTTTTCGATCTATTTCAACTCAAAAGCGAACTTTATCGATCAACTGCACTACGTTTTATTTGGGAAATTCAACGCCAAAAAACTCGCAACTTCATAACAACCTTTCGAGATAATATAATGAAATTACTCGCAAAGAGAACGATTCAACATTCCCGAAACACATAAAACTTTTTTTAATTTCTCATAAACAGATTTCATTTCTTTAATGGACTGGTATTTCTCGAACAATAATATTCGAGTTAAAGGCGAATTTAGCGTTTTAGGGCGCACCTATCAGGATAACGATTTTTTTTATGTACAAGGTGATTTAACAACTGTGCAAATATTGCGAATATAAGTAAGGGTGTGATGGTGAGCAATGTTTCAGAGAAATATTCGCTGGGAATTCCGTCGAATTCGTACTTGATGATTCTTTCGGACGGACAAACGCCTCTGCTTATACATTCACAGTGTGGACAGTTACAGTCGCCTTCTTTCAGTTCATTCTGGGGTGAAGACTCCACCAGTACCCACATGGCTGTGGACAGTAGTGCCAATTTGACGAAACGGAACATTTTTCTGAAATAAAACCAAATTAGTATTTAATGTACATTTCTGTGGCAATTTTGTGAATGGAGTTTCCGGACCTGGGGTTATCTGTGTCGTTCGTGGAATAATTGTGGTTATTGTAATTTTTATTATTTCTCTTATTTGTTATATACAAGAATATCTGGTTTCTTTTTAGTTTTCGCTTTCTCAATATTCAAATAGTTCAGTTTTTAAATTTTTCGACTTTTCCAATTTTTGGATTTTTCGATGTTTCTATTTCTTGACTTCTCGATTTTTCGTCTTCTCGATTCCTCGATTTTTCAAATGTTCGATCTCTCAATTTTTTTCGATTTTGGTTTTTCACATTTTCGATTTCTCAAGTTTTCAATATTTCAATTTTGAGAATTTTTGCATTTCTAGATTTTCAAATTTTTAAATTTTTCAAAGATGGATTTTCGAAATTAACCACAAATCTTTTTAATCACTCTTTCTTTTGATGGCAGATTTGTTCAGGTTAATTTTAAAACTAATTTTAAAAAATGGATAAATCTCCAAAAAAAAAAATTAATTAAAATTCTTCAATTTTCCGATTATTCAAATTTTCGATATTTGGATTTTTTTATTTTTCGTTTTCTCAATATTCAAATATTTCAGTTTTCAAAATTTTTCATTTTTCAATTTTTGGCGTTTCCAAATTTTCGATCCTTCTCGATTTTTCGACTTTTCGACAATTTGATTTTTCGATTTGTCCAATTTCTGGACTTTTCGATTCCTCGATTTTTCAGATATTCGATTTCTCAATATTTCGATGTTTCAGTTTTTTGATTCTTCAAATTTTCTTCAATTTTTCGAATTCTCAACTTCTCGTTTTTTTGATTTTTTAGTTTTTCAATTTTTTGGTTTTTAAATTTTTCGATTTTTCAAATGTTCGATTTCTCAATATTTTGATGTTTCAGTTTTTCGATTCCCCAAATTTTCTTCGATTTTTCGATTTATGGATTCATCAGTCTTTCGATATTTGAGTTTAGGGATTTTTAATTTTTCGATTCTTCAATTTTTCTGCATTTTAATTTTCCATTTTTTAAATTTTAAATTTTTCGAATTCTCGACTTCTCGTTTTTCGGTTTTTAAATTTTTCGATTTCCCAATTTTTTGTCATTTCAGTTTTGGGATTTTTTCATTTTTGATTTTTCATTTTGATTCGACATTTTGTCAATTTTTTAAATTTTAAATTTCTTGATTTCTCGTTTCTTTAATCTGTTTTGATTGTTCGATTTTTCGAATTTTCGCTTTCTCGACATCTCGGTTTTCCGATTTTTAAAAATTTTCGGTTTCTCAAGTTTTCAATATTTCAATTTTGGGAAGTTTTGTGTTTCTGGATTTTTAAATTTTTTGATGCTTTAATTTTTCAAAGATGAACGTTCGAAATTAAACACAAATCTTTTAATCACTCTTTCTTCTAATGGCAGATTTGTTCAGGTTAATTTTAAAAGTAATTTTAAAAAATGGATAAATCTCCAAAAAATATTTACTGAAAATTCTTTAATTTCCCGATTATTCAAATTTTCGATACCTGGATTTTTTATTTTTCGCTTTCTCTCTTAAAATATGTATTGTCAGTTTTAAAATTTTTGGATTTTTCAATTCTTGGCGTTTCCAAATTTTGGATTTTTCTCGATTTTTCGACTTTTCGACTTTTCTATTCCTCGATTTTTCAAATGTTCGATTTCTCAATATATCGATGTTTCAGTTCTGGGACTTTTCAGTTTTTCGATTCTTCAAATTTTCTTCGATTATTCAATTTATCGATTCTTCAATTTTTCTACATTTTAGCATTCGATTTTTAAATTTTAAATTTTTTCGGTTCTTCTGTTTGCCAATTTTTTAAATTTTAAATTTCTCGATTTCTCATTTCGTTAATCTGTTTTGAGTGTTCAATTTTTCGATTTCCATTTTTCACGTTTGCGATTTTTCAAGTTTTCAATACAAACATGTTTCAATTTTGAGAAATTTTCCATTTTTGGATTTTTAAATTTTTTGATATTTTATTTTTCGAAAAAGGACTTCTGAAATTAAGCTCAAATTTTTTTGATGGCAGGTTTGTTCAGGTTAATTTTAAAAAAACGGATAAATCTCCAAAAAATGTTTACATAAAATTATCCAAAGAAAATTCACAGAGATTTCCAAAATGTTGGATGTTACAGGATGTCTCATTTAAAAACTGGAAAAATAACCAAAATTCTAAAAATTTAAAATTTAAAAAATTGAAAATTAAAATGCCGAAAAATTGAAGAATTGAAAAATTGAAAAATTCCAAAACTCAAATATCGAAAAATTCTTCAATTATTCTGCATTTTAATTTTCGATTTTTTAAATTTTAAAATTTTTTTTTTGATTTTTCAGTTTTGGGATTTTTCCATTTTCGATTTTTCATTTTATCAATTTTTTTAAATTTTAAATTTGTCGATTTCTCGTTTCTCTAATCCGCTTTGATTGTTCAATTTTTCGACTATTTAAGTATTACATTTTATGGATTTTTCGAATTTCCAATTTTTCCATTTTTGATTTTTCCGTTTTTCGATTTTTCATTTTGTCAATTTTTTATTTAATTTTTCGACTTTTTAAATATTACATTTTATGGATTTTTCAATTTTTCGATTTATCGCTTTCTCGACATCTTGGTTTTTCGATTTTTAAAATTTTTCGAATTCGATTTTTCACGTTTTCGATTTCCCAAGTTTTCAATATTTCAATTTTGAGAATTTTTCCATTTTTAGATTTTTAAATTTTTTGATGCTTTAATTTTTCAAAGATGGACGTTCGAAATTAAACACAAATCTTTTTAACCACTCTTTCTTTTGATTGCAGATTTGTTTAGGTTAATTTTAAAAGTCATTTTAAAAAATGGACAAATCTCCAAAAAAAATACTTAAAAATCTTCAATTTCCGGATTATTGAAATTTTCAATATCTGGATTTTTTTATTTTTCGTTTTCTCAATATGCAAAAATTTCAGTTTTAAAATTTTTCCATTTTTCAGTTTTGGGCGTGTCCAAATTTTCGATTTTTCTCGATTTTTCGCCATTTAGATTTTTCGTCTTTTCCGATTTCTGGACTTTTCGATGTTTCTATTTCTGGACTTTTCGATTCTTCAATTTTTCTGCATTTTAATTTTCCATTTTTTAGATTTTAAATTTTTCGAATTCTCGACTTTTCGTTTTTTGATTTTTCGGTTTTTAAATTTTTCGATTTCCCAGTTTCTTGACATTTCAGTTTTGGGATTTTTTCATTTTGATTCTTCATTCTGTCAATTTTTTAAAATGTAAATTTCTTGATTTCTCGTTTCTTTAATCTGTTTTGATTTTTCAATTTTTCGATTTTTCGAATTTTCGTTTTCTCGACATCTCGGATTTCCGATTTTTAAAAATTTTCGATTTCTCAAGTTTTCAATATTTCAATTTTAGGAATTTTTGCATTTTTGGATTTTTACATTTTTTGATGCTTTAATTTTTCAAAGATGGACCTTCGAAATTAAACACAAATCTTTTTAATCACTCTTTCTTTTGATGGCAGATTTGTTTAGGTCAAGTTTAAAAGTAAATTTAAAAAATGGATAAATCTCCAAAAAAATTTACTCAAAAATCTTCAATTTCCCGATTATTTAAATTTTCGATATCTGGATTTTTTTATTTTTCGTTTTCTCAACAAGCAAAAATTTCAGTTTTTAATTTTTTCGATTTTTCAATTTTTGGCGTTTCCAAATTTTCGATTTTTCGACTTTTCGATTCCTCGATTTTCCAAATGTTCGGTTTATCAATATTTTAATGTTTCAGTTTTGGGAATTTTCAATTTTTCGATTCTTCATTTTGTTACATTTCTCAATTTTTGAATTTTTCGTTTTTTAAAATTTTTCGATTTCTCAAGTTTTCAATATTTCAATTTTGGGAATTTTTGCATTACTGGATTTTAAATTTTTTGATGTTTTAATTTTTCAAAGGTGGACTTTCGAAATTAAGCACTCTTTCTTTTGATGGCAGATTTGTTCAGGTTAATTTTAAAAGTAATTTAAAAAAAACGGATAAATCTCCAAACAAATTTTACTTAAAATTATCCAATTGCAGGATCTCCCATTTAAAAATAAAAAAATAACCAAAGTTCGGAATAATGCGTAGAGCAATACTACATCTAACAATAAAAAAATGACGGGTTATAAAATAGAGTCATATATAGGGTGTCCCAACTGTTTGATGATGAGGAGTTACTTGGACTATCTCAAAAATCCTTTGATACAATCGAATGGAGGTAATTTGTGGCCGTTCATTTTACATATTGAACAGTAATTTTTTTTATGAAACATCCTATATATTTTTACAGGTTTAAATTACGACAAAGAAGCTTGTTTGTACAGGATGATTTAATTTGGAAATGGCAGGTTCGTTGAGGTCCATAACAATATTTAAAAAAAAAACGAAAAACCTCAGATTTTTTTAATTAAAATTATTGAAAAAAAAAATTGCTTAGTCAGGGTGTCTCATTTAAAAATGGGAAATAATCAAATTTCGGAATCATTCGTAGTGCAATTCTACATATACCATTAAAAAAATAGTTCATAGTGGTTATTAAATAGAACCATATACAGGGTGTCCCAACTATTTGATGATAAGGATTACGTGGACTAACTCAAAAATCCTTTGATACAAGTCTACAAATTTTTGCAGATTTAGGTTCAGCGTGAACAAAAAATCAGAAAAACTATCTTGAGCACAAGAATTTTTTGGTCGAATTTCCCTTAACATACGTCGAAGAAAGTTTAAGCTTACTTGTTCAGGGTGATTAAATTTCAAAATTGTGGCTTCCTCAAATGGGACATCTTGTATTTTATGATATTTTGGAACTTCTGATGGCACGAAAATAATTAAATTTCGTAATTATGTATAATATTACACCTAGCGATCGAACAAAAAAGAGTTAATAGGACTATATACAGGGTGTCCTAAGGACTATTTAAAAAAATCCGTTAATACAATCGAATCAAAGTCATTTAGTGCCGTTTCTTTTACAGGTTGCACCCCAAGTTGATTTCTTTCAATGAAATATCCTCTATATTTTTACAGATTACGCTTCCGCCATTTTTACAAATGGACGTTCGGAATTTTGCACAAAACTTTTAATTACTTTGCGTTAAGCTTATTTGTACGAGGTAATTAAATTTGAAAATTAAGATTAACTTCAAACAATCAGATCAAAAGAAAATCTACTTAGGAAAACTTTCCAAAATTGAGTTGATAGTGGTTGTAAAGTAGGGCTATATACCGGGTGTCCCAACTATTTGATGATGGAGATTACGTATTTATCGTGGACTAGTTCAAAAATCCGTGGTACAATCAAAAATGGAAGTCTTTGTGGCCGTTCCTTTTACAGATTGTATCTACAATAAAGTTGTATTTACTTTTTTAAGTGGAACATCTTATATATTTTTACAGATTTAAATTCAGTATGAATAAAAAAAAAATGAAAATTATCTTGGAAACAAGGATTTTTTAGTCGAACTAAATTTCGAAATTGTCACTTTTGTTATATTAATTCGTTTCAAGAGTCGACTAAACGGTAATTTTGGAGGAGTATCCGGTATTAAAAAAAACTTCGATGACTTGTGACCCAACTATTTAGAATATAATTCCGAATTATGGACACCTCACCTGAACACTTAATTCTGAAACCACGAGTGGTGGAACAACACCGAAAACTGCGTGAATCTATGTCGATTTTCTTTTATATAGTGCGGTTTATGGGGGCACCCTGAAATGAAGTGTCGTATTGTTATCACATCGATTGTTATTCCATTTTAAAAGTAAACATGCAGACTAGAGGTTTTGTGGTCTAGCGCTATCCAGGCCCACGTAAGTGTCGCAGTGATAAGATTTTTAAAAATAGAGATATCGATAAGCATCAAATAAGGCATCAGAATGTGTTTTGAAAGTGCATGTTCGTTATCAACGCACTTCCCGACCTTAAAGCGACCCATTTTTAATTTAATGCATCGTGTAGCCACAGTATAGATATCAATCAGTAGAGACAGCTCGCCGTTTTTCGTGACCCGTTTTCGTGGGTGGTCGTTCGCATTATGACCAAATGAGGGCGCCCAACTGACGTCTAAAATATTTGAAATTTGGCAGTTTTGTTACAATATTTTTGACGGTTTTGCTTGTTTAAGACTGTTTTTCCGGTAGAATTGTACAAATAGTATAAAAATGTAATTTTCACAATAAAAGGTAAAATCTTTGTCCGATGAATTTTCATACAGGATCCCTGTTGTGCGCCTTATTCTCTCCATCGTGTTTGGAATTCTTGGAAAAGATAGTAAACATAACACACTCTTTTGTTTAAAAAGTCGTCGCAAACGGACAACAACGGTGGTTATGAAATAAATAATAAAAATTTATTATATATGATTCCGTTGTTGCGGTAAAATTAAATATAAAAATAATAAGAAACAAACTACACGTAACAAAAAATTATATAAGCAGACCTTCTCTCAATAAACATTTTTTTTATTCATCATGTATATATATATTTTTTGACCTACACAATCTTGAGTTTTATTTTGAGACGGTGCTTAACCCATAAGCAGTCGCGCGTGGGTAAAAATGACCCAAGCCGTACATTTTGTCAAATATCCTTTTTCGCTTAATCCCTATGGACTTCCGGTTTCATGAATTCCTTAATTATTCTTACCTGCGTCGACCCATACCAATTACCTGCACTTTATGTGAGCCGACAAATATGCATTTTTTTTTGTAATAATTTTTTTAAATAAAAATTTTACTTTATATATTACGCTTACGGGTTAAGTTGTTAGGTAAAATGGGTTTGACTATATATTAACAAGACGCCTTTGCCAAGACGCACTAGAAAACTGTTTTGGATGGATTAGGAAACAAAATGGAAATTCTATTAACCCCACATCTAATCAATTTCAACTGGCTTTTAGAAAATTAATCATACAAGATTATTTTGATGAAACGAACACAGGTAATCAAAACTGCGAGCCTGATATGGAAGAAATTTTAAAGTTAAATGTAGGTCGTCGTTTTGATGAAGAAGAATCAGTCACCACGATGCAGAAGACCACCAAGATTGTGATTATCACTTTCACACAGCTGAACAAAACGCAATTAGGTATATCTGTGGCTACCTAATTCGAAAATGTTTATTAGTACATAGTTGTAATGAATGTGAAAAATATGCAAATGAACATAAAAGTTTAGACACCACAAGTATATATTTGTTACGGTTAAAGTGAATACTCGGCTAGTTTCCAAACTATCTGGTTGTTATGCAAACTAACCAAGTCGCTAGTTATTATAGACGAAAAACTATTTTCTCTTACATTAGCAGGGTTTCTTGGTTAATTTGTAAACTGCCCAGCTAGTTTATAAACTACCGTACAAGTTTGGATAATTTACATACTTTTTTTAAAGTACATAAATTAACCGAAATAATTGGTTAGTTTACAAACCAGCCACTTTGTTCTGGTTAAAATAAGAACTTTTTCTCTAGTACGATAAAATAACTAACGAATTGTATCATATTTTAGGCAGTTAGTATGCAAACAGACAGTTGTTTTAGTGTTCAATGCAGGCAATGATACAATTCATTGGTTATTTTATCGTACTAGAGAAAACGTTCTTATTTTAACCAGAACAAAGTGGCTGGTTTGTAAACTAACCAATTATTTCGGTTAATTTATGTACTTTAAAAAAAGTATTTAAATTATCCAAACTTGTACGGTAGTTTATAAACTAGCTGGGCAGTTTAAAAATTAACCAAGAAACCCTGCTAATGTAAGAGAAAATAGTTTTTCGTCTATAATAACTAGCGACTTGGTTTGTTTGCATAACAACCAGTTAGTTTGGAAACTAGCCGAGTATTCACTTTAACCGTAACATATTCACATTTCAGAGCCTACTAAACGAAGAATTGCGAGTTATTTGGTAAATTATATGTGCCAACTGCCAAACGATAATTTCTTTTTTTACATTTGTGAATTAGAGCAAATTTTTAGTGAAAATTTTGAAAATATAATTTTACAAACAACTACTTTGTTGGAATTTTTAAATTTATATAAGCAAGCTACATTTGTTCATCCATGCCAAAACTTTCAATATGATTATTTCCTTGCTTTGTATGCTAGGATGAGATTATTTTATGCACTAAAATTTGTAAATGCTAGCTTTAAATTTACAAATGCCAAAGGTGAAAAAATTAATAGAAAGAATATAATTTGGCAGCATTAACTTTTTTCATTTTTGTAATTTAATTTTCATTGTATTTATTTTTTCTTAAATAAACCTCTTTCTTTTTAGATTTATTTATTACATTATTTTTACAATGATAATTAAACCTCAAGTATTCGGGGAAAAAATGTGCTAATTGTCAAATTGTATAAGTAATAAAATAAAAACTGTAACAAATCATCGTGTTTATAAATTAAATATCGACTTTTCTTTTTTCTTATTGCGATTCACGATTATACGATTTGAGCAAACTACACAGTTTGCAATAAATTGCGTACACGAATCAATTTTTGAAATTGTAAATGAAGTGATACTTTTTAAATTGGGTGGCGACATCTAGGAGTAGTTTAGGCAACGACCACCCATGACGGCTTAAAATTCGGGTCAGAAAGAACAAAGGTGCTGACACGAGCTGGCTCTACTGATTGATATCTATACTGTGCTTAGACTTTTAAAAACTGAACATATTTTAAGTCTATTTTTTAGATTTGTTAGATCTGTTATTCTTTTTTTCCTGTAAATCCCCTAGATACTTTAAGTCTTCTCGACTTTTTAGATCTTCTATATCTTTCACATCCGCTGATCCTTGAGATCCTTTCCATTTTTAGGTCCCTGAAATTCTATTGATCTTTTATGAATCCGTAGTCTTTTCAAATCATTTGGGTTGTTTCTAGGTCCTCTATATCCTCTAAAACCCTCAAATCTTCTAACCTTTCATTGGTGAGATCCTTTACTCCTTTTAGATCCTTAACATGCCTCGCATTTTCTAGATCCTCAGAGCCTGTACTTCTAGATACTCCAAATTCTCTAGACTATATCTATAGATTTTTTATGCCATTCTTCAGATCCCTGAAGTCGTCCACATCTTATGATCTTTTTGTATCTTCTCTGCCTTCTGAAGAATTTAGCTAACCTACATTCCTAGATAATCTAGATCCCGTAAATCCTCTACATCTTTTGAATCTTCGAAACATTTAGGTCTTTTTGCTGTTTGAGCCTCTAGATTTCTGATATTCTTCACACCGTTTAATCTTTGAGATGCCTCAATTTTTTGGATCCTTGGGATGCTGTAGAGCTTTTAGGTGTTTTAATCTTTCTAAATCCTCTAGCGACTTCAGTCCTTTAAATTCTCCAGAAAATCTAGATCCGCTGGATCTTCTAGACTTCAAATTCTTTAAATCCTGCACCGCCTTTGGAATTCTGAGATCCTTCACATTCTTTAGATTCATGATTTCGTTCACATCTTTTAGATTCCTGAGATTCTAGAGTTTTTTAGGATCCTGTAGATTTTACAACCTTTAGACTCTTCGGTTCTTTGGAACTTTCTGGATCCTTCTGAAGAGTTCATCTATGCTCTAGGTCTTTTAAATCTCTGAGACATTTAGATTCTTCAAATTCTTTAGCTGTTCGATCCTTCAAATTCCTGAGATCCTTCACATCTTTTAGATTTTTAAAATACCTCACAATTTTTAGATCCTTGGGATCCTGTAGAGCTAAGATCTTTTAGATCCTTCTACATTCTGTACGCCAGATTATGTAGATCCACTAAATCTTAGGCATTTTATATTATTTAAACTCTTCACATCCTTCTGATTCTGTGATCGTCCACATCTTTTAGACCCCTGAGATCCTACAAGTCTTTTAAGATTCTGTAAATATTTTACATTGTTTAGATTCTTTAAGTTCTTTGAAATCTTCTGGATCTTATCTTCTTATTAATAAGCGTTTGGAAGTACTTAGTAAAAGCAAATAGATAAATCATTCAATTTAAGGCCGGAAAAATGTTTCAGAAGAGCAAAACCCATCAAAGCACTAGAGCAAGGTTGTTGTCTTTTACCAACCCTTTTAGTAATCTGAGAAAAATGAAAAAAGAAGTTGGAAGATATGGAAATAGGTTGTTCATAAAGGTCGAAATTTCCATTTCTAAGACTCTCTAGGAAAAAGTAAAGTTAGCCCCACCCACCCACCCCCTCTTCTCTCACAGATTTTTCTTCTGAAATAAGAAATAAATCTTGCAACAAAGAGTACAACAAAAAAGTTACGATTACTTTTTTTACAAGCTAGTTTCTATCACCTCCTCTCTACAGAAGAACATATTATAAACCCCGCCCACCCACCCGCCTCTATTTCGGTGAATAATTTTATTAAAACAGTACTTCTAAAATTTATTGTTTAAAAGAAAAAATTAACAGTTTAAATTTAGAGAATTTAAAAATTAATGACCAACTGTCCAAAATTTTGGTTGCTTTAGACTATTTACACTTTCATTTATTTTATATTTTCTTTATTACACCTTCTATTTTTTGTATTTTATCTCACAATATGGGGAATAAAACATCACTATCACTATCACTATAAACGAAGAAAAAAAACCCGAAATACATATAAGGTGTAGATCGAATAAATTATAGAAGGTCAATAACAATTTATCTGTTTTCTCACCATCCGTTTAACAGATTTGCCGAAGATTCTAATAAAACAATTATATTGTCAATAATTAACATTATTAAGAGTGGTCACCAGAAGGAAGAGGGGGTGGGTGGGCGGGGCTAAGTTTACTTTTTCCTAGAGAGTCTTTTGCAGGCAAGTATTAGCCCCGCCCACCCGCCCCCTCTTCTCTCATTGATTTTTCTTCTGAAATAAGAAATAAATCTTGCAACAAAGAGTACAACAAAAAGTTACGATTATTTTTTTTACAAGCTAGTTTCTATCACCTCCTCTATACAGAAGAACATATTATAAACCCCGCCCACCCACCCGCCTCTATTTCGGTGAATAATTTTATTAAAACAGTACTTCTAAAATTTATTGTTTAAAAGAAAAAATTAACAGTTTAAATTTAGAGAATTTAAAAATTAATGACCAACTGTCCAAAATTTTGGTTGCTTTAGACTATTTACACTTTCATTTATTTCATATTTTCTTTATTACACCTTCTATTTTTTGTATTTTATCTCACAATATGGGGAATAAAACATAACTATCACTATAAACGAAGAAAAAAAACCCGAAATACATATAAGGTGTAGATCGAATAAATTATAGAAGGTCAATAACAATTTATCTGTTTTCTCACCATCCGTTTAACAGATTTGCCGAAGATTCTAATAAGACAATTATATTGTCTATAATTAACATTATTAAGAGTGGTCACCAGAAGGAAGAGGGGGTGGGTGGGCGGGGCTAAGTTTACTTTTTCCTAGAGAGTCTTTTGCAGGCAAGTATTAGCCCCGCCCACCCGCCCCCTCTTCTCTCATTGATTTTTCTTCTGAAATAATAAATAAATTTTGTAACAAAGAGTACAACAAAAAAGTTACGATTACTTTTTTTACTAGTTTCTATCACCTCCACTCTACAGAAGAACATATTATAAACCCGCCCACCCACCCGCCTCTATTTCGGTGATTAATTTTATAAAAAAAGTACTTGTAAAATTTATTGTTTAAAAGAAAAAATTAACAGTTTAAATTTAAAGAATTTAAAAATTAATGACCAACTGTCCAAAATTTTGGTTGCTTTAGACTATTTACACTTTCATTTATTTTATATTTTCTTTATTACACCTTCTATTTTTTGTATTTTTATCTCACAAAATGGGGAATAAAATATCACTATCACTGTCACTATAAACAAGAAAAAACTTTGAAATATACGGTGTAGATCGAATATTTTATAGAAGGAAAATTACAATTTATATGTTTTCTCACCACCGGTTTAACAAGTTTGCCGAAGATTGTAATAAGACAATAATTTTGTCAATAAATTAACAGTATTAAAAGTGGTCACCAGAATGAAGCGGGGGTGGGTGGGCGGGGCTAATACTTGCCTGTAAAAGACTCTCTAGGAAAAAATAAACTTAGCCCCACCCACCCACCCCCTCTTCTCTCATGGATTTTTCTTCTGAAATAATAAATAAATCTTATAACAAATAATACAACAAAAAATTCACAATAGAGTTTTTTACAGGTTAGTTAGTATCAGTTACTTACCACTCCCAGTCTGCAGAAGAATATATTGTAAACCACGCCCACATACCCGCCCCCATTTGGGTGATTAATTTTATAAAAAAAAAGTAGTTTAAATTTAGAGAATTTAAAAATTAATGACCAACTGTCCAAAATTTTGGTTGCTTTAGACTATTTACACTTTCATTTATTTTATATTTTCTTTGTTAGACCTTCTATTTTTTGTATTATATCTCACAATATGGGGAATAAAACATCACTATCACTATCACTATAAATGAAGAAAAAAAACCCGAAATACATATAAGGTGTAGATCGAATAAATTATAGAAGGTCAATAACAATTTATCTGTTTTCTCACCATCCGTTTAACAGATTTGCCGAAGATTCTAATAAGACAATTATATTGTCAATAATTAACATTATTAAGAGTGGTCACCAGAAGGAAGAGGGGGTGGGTGGGCGGGGCTAAGTTTACTTTTCCTAGAGAGTCTTTTGCAGGCAAGTATTAGCCCCGCCCACCCGCCCCCTCTTCTCTCATTGATTTTTCTTCTGAAATAAGAAATAAATCTTGCAACAAAGAGTACAACAAAAAAGTTACGATTACTTTTTTTACTAGTTTCTATCACCTCCACTCTACAGAAGAACATATTATAAACCCGCCCACCCACCCGCCTCTATTTCGGTGATTAATTTTATAAAAAAGTACTTCTAAAAATTGTTGTTTAAAAGAAAAAATTAACAGTTTAAATTTAAAGAATTTAAAAATTAATGACCAACTGTCCAAAATTTTGGTTGCTTTAGACTATTTACACTTTCATTTATTTTATTTTTTCTTAATTCCTCCGTCTTTTTTTTGTATTTTTATCTCACAAAATGGGGAATAAAATATCACTATCACTGTCACTATAAACAAAAAAAAAACTTTGAAATATACGGTGTAGATCGAATATTTTATAGAAGGAAAATTACAATTTATATGTTTTCTCACCACCAGTTTAACAAGTTTGCCGAGGATTGTAATAAGACAATAATTTTGTCAATAAATTAACAGTATTAAAAGTGGTCACCAGAATGAAGCGGGGGTGGGTGGGCGGGGCTAATACTTGCCTGTAAAAGACTCTCTAGGACAGTGGTTCGCAAACTTTTATTATTGATGGCACCCTAAAATATTAAACAAAATTTGGCGGCACCCTGCCAAGAACAGTTTTAATTGTAACTAATTTATTATCAAAAACACTTTATCACATGATTGTATAATATGTAATGATTGATGTTAAGATTGTTTTTATAAATATTTATTTTCCATAATTTAAGCTTGTCTTTTAAAGCCAAAATTTTTTACTGGAGCTTAAAATATTTTCATTTCTACCTTGTATACTTGAATTTACATATTTTATTTAAGTGTTCAAAAATATTAGTTAAATATGCTAGTTTTGTACACCAAACGTGGTCTTGAAGGAGGTCAAAAAATTGTTCAATACATATTTTCTGATTCAAAAAACGTTTACAACTGTTTTCTTAATTCCCAAAATCGGGAAAGAACACGGCCTTTAAACCATCTCATCATCTTTTAGCCATCTTACTTCAGTATGAAGAAAATTAACATGTTCAGAACACATTTTCCATTACTGAACAGTTGTACCATATTAATAAAATCATATCATCAATTATTATTTTTTAAAGTTGGTTTTGTGCTTATATTTATTAAAATCATTATAAAATTTTCACGGCACCCTCTTGGGGGTTCCGCGGCACCCCAGTGTGCCGCGGCACCCAGTTTGCGAACCACTGCTCTAGGAAAAAGTAAACTTAGCCCCACCCACCCACCCCCTCTTCTCTCATGGATTTTTCTTCTGAAATAATAAATAAATCTTATAACAAATAATACAACAAAAAATTCACAATAGAGTTTTTTACAGGCTAGTTAGTATCAGTTACTTACCACACCCACTCTGCAGAAGAATATATTGTAAACCACGCCCACATACCCGTCTCCTTTTCGGTCATGAATTTTATAAAAAAAAAGTATTACTAAAATTTATTGCAACAGAAAGAAGGCGAAATTTATTGTGGAAAAGAAAAAATTAACGGTTTAAATTTAAAAAATTTAAAAATTAATGACAAACTGTCCAAAATTTTGGTTGATTAATGACAAATTGATGATTGTAGGTAAATTTCGAATAAACGAAGAAGTGATTACGAATGCACTTAAATAACAAAAAAAACTGAGGAGATGGCGCCTCGAGACTGATTGAGAATTAAAGATGAGATGCTAAATGTAGCATGCGACAATAGTCATATGTAGAACCCCCATTCATATAAAAACAATGTTTAACTGAAAAAAAAATAAAAGCCGAATAACTGTTTTAAATAGCGTAAAATTTTATGCTTTCTAAGAAATGGATACCGTTAACTTGGTCATTGCTAAAGAAAACTGAAAGTATCGGCAACAATGTTTAAATTTCGGGCATATTTTTTAACCTTTAATTCAATAAAACATAACCTAACGAAACAAGTTCAGGGAATTTTTATTCTTCTGCATCGAATACCAACAAACTCACTAGATTTTCATGGTCAACCCTACTATATAAAGATCATGAACGAATAATGAGTTTTAATTCAATGTTCATAATAATTCTAGGCAACCAGTAATACTCATCTGCAAAATAAAAAAGTGAGGTTATGTGGTTCTATTATTTAAAATATTCGAAAGCTTGTATTTTCTATTTTATTACGGGGGTTGCAATAAAACAAATAAACCTTTTTTGTAGTTTTTATTCATAATGGCGTCACTTAACATTGTGAACTAACACTTACATATTATAAAAGTAAATGGTACCTATGTACATTAGTTATAAAAACTTAAATAATTGACTAACTCGAGAAAATAGGGAATTATCATGTTATGTACAATGTAATTTGGTATAATTATTTATTTAATAAAATCACAGATACTAATTTTTATCTGGCCTTCATATGTACAACAACATCGTAAACCTAACAAATAAAACTCTCATTTACATGAAAACTTCAGTAATACTTTAACCAATCAAACAAACGCGCTTTGTGCGCTCAACTTACAAAAATGGTCATAGGGAATACGACTTGTCCGACGACAAGTCATAAAACAAAACAAACCCGCTCTTAAAAAAAATAAAATAACCAACATTCATCCAACATCTACCCCGAAAAATAAAACAGTTCAACATCAACATGTAAATGATACACATCTCCAGTAACACTTACTTACAACTTATTCGAATTCTAATTACATATTTTTACATTTTTCATATTTTTTACTATTGTCATCCATCATATCAAATTTATCACGTCAAGTGCCCACCAAAGACCAGAAAAGAATCGAACGAAATGATATGTTCACGGCTTCTTCAAATTATTATTAACAATGGAAGGATTCCCATCGGAACCAATAGGAAACGGGAAGTTCAGACGCGACGTGTGCGCAATCAAGTCCGTGTAGAACTTCAGCTGGTCGGCGGGCGGGAAGGGCGGCACCGGGTGGCTCGCCGCCCCCAGGGGACCATGCGAATACAGACTCTGCATGGCGGCAGTGTAATAGATGGGGTCCAGAAGGGGCGGCAGATACGGAGGAACGTTCTTGTTTTCGTAGAGGTGCGACAGGTAGGGGAAGGAGGCGGCGGCCGGGGGCGGCATGCTCTTGGACACCGGAGGCATAGGCGGGACTTTGTTGGGGTCGCTCTTCATGGCTTGGTGGTGACTCCTCGAGTAAGGGTGAGGAATAGTGATGTCCATGGCAGACTTGTTCTCGCGGGTGGATAAAACGGGAACTGACGAGATCGGTGGTGGTAATTTATTGTACTTGCCGTTCTCCTCCATTCTGGGTACTTTGTGGTTGGGGTAGTGGTCGGCGGATAGGCGCTTGTGGGGGTAGCGGGGGTAGTTCGTGAGGGATGGAGGGGGCAAGCCGTATTTCGATTGGTGTAAACTAGCGGCGTGCTTGTTTGCCCCGACTAACGTGATTTCAAGATTGGAACCCAAGCGCCGCCCGTCTAGCAAAGGGGGAGCGGGCGTTGGTTTGTACGGGACTTTCGGGGCGGAGCTAAAAGGAATAGGCGGAGCCGGCGTAGGGACTTTCATTATCTCGACTACGGGTTTCTGTGGACTCGTTACTGTCAAGTCAAGGATGTCGCCCCCTTGGCGCGTCCCTACGAACTTAGGGGTGTGCACTGGAAGCGTCGCCGGTACGTAGTCCTTCGGGTTACCATAGACCGTCTTCTCGGAGTAGGAGTAAATTGATTTTGATTGGAGGACTTTAGGTGGGCCGCTCCCATTAGCGTAGGGGAAGGCTTTAGGCGGGGTTTTGTTATTACCACGGTCCACCTTAACCTGGCTGATGTTAATAGCTTGAGGTACAGAGATTTGCGTGCGCTTCGGCGGCACGGGTATCGACGGCGGCGGCATTTCATTTTTGATTGGTTTGGGTACTATCTGGGCCCCGGTTGGTTGGATGACCGACGGTCGGACTTCCTTGATGGAAGTGGGCGGAGCTAGCGTTCGAACGGGCGTCACCTCCAGTCCCCCCTCCTTCAAAATTTCAAGCTTGCGTTTTTTCACCTCGTGGAAAAAGGGCTGGTGGAGGGTGGTCGCACTGTAGGTGTCCGCTTCTAGGTCGATGATTTCCGGACTTTTGGGTTTGTATGGCACCTCGATCACTTCGGGACTCTTGCTTTTGGCGGGGGTGTCCCCGGTTTTGATTATGGGGATGTTCTCTTTGCCTTCCACCGGGGAGTGAGATTTTTCCGGGGTTAGTTTCTGAGCGACGGGCGCGACCGCCGAGGTCAAGGGTTCGGCGTCCTTCTCCGGCACTACTTCTTCGGCTTTCACCGCCACCACCTCACTTTTCGGTTCGAGTTTCGGAACTTTAGCACCCGGCTCGTCTTCGGTCACTTCGGGTTTCACATCCGAACTTATTTCAAGGTTATTGTTATTTAACTTTTCACTAGTAACTTGTTTGTCTTTTTGTCGCTCGGGTTTCACGCGCACACTCCGTAACGACGAGGTTTTCCCCTCGGGCTTGCCTTGGATGGTGAATTCCTGGAAAAAGGGTCATTAGAATCCACCAAGTGTGGGGCTAAAATGTTCTTACTTTGTTTTCTGTGGGGGTGGTGGGCGTGACGGGCGTGGACCCCTGCGGGACCGGGGTGCTGTTCCCGCTCCTGGAGGTGCTCTCGCTGGTCTCGGCGTCGCTGGTGCTGCTGCCAGTTTTACTCTTCAGTCTTCGTCTTTCCGAGATCGGCAGCGGTTTGTACTCTTCGCCCTTGACGTGGCGCTCGTAGGGAAGAAGGAACCTGCGGAGCACCGGGTCTTTAAATCTCGCCGGATTCATTAAAAATACATCAGGCGTGAATCGGGCACTCGTTCCCCACTCAAACAACAGACAATCGAGGTGGAAGCATCGGTCACGCAACATTTTCTCATAATTATCAATTATCGACGAAGGAGGAGTCGCAATTTCCCCGCATAAACAGAAATAGATTTTCTTTCAACAAGTTTCACGGTGGAATTTCGAGAAGATTTAGGCGTCGTCGAGTCTTGGATGGGATCAAAGGCAAAGACACAAACATGGTGACCCAAATGGTGTTATATTAAAGCAATTATGGCAAGATAGTTTCGATAAAATAATTACGCGATTTTTGTTTTCTGATCATTTTTCAATTATTCAAGTTTAAAATTTTCAGTTTTCCAATTTTTGGTCTGGTTTTTTATTTTCTTAATTTTTTTCAATTTTTGGTTTCTTTAAATTCTTGCTTTCAATTTTTCATTTTTCTTGGTTCTTTCGATCCTTTAATTTTTCATTTCTTCAAATTTTCCATTTGCAAACTTTCGCTTTCGGTTTTTTATTTTCTTCATTTTTATAATTTTTCGATTTTTCAATTTTAAGATTTTTTCATTTGTCGTTTCTTTTTGATTTGCAATTTTTCTAGTTTTCATATAATAATGATAAGAATTTTAAAAAATGTCTTACGATTTTTGACTTTTTCCGTTTATTATATTTTAAAACTTTTTCAATTTTTCGTTTCGTTTTTAATGTTCAATTTTTCGATTTCTCAATGTTCTGATTTTATAATTTTTTTTCTTTCGATGTGAAGTTTTTCAATTTTTCAAATTTCAACATTTAGATTTTTTAATTTGTCGTTTCTTCAATTTTTGATTTTTTTTTTCTAATTTTCATTGTAAATATGTAATAATGATAACAATTTTTAAAAATTTTCACTCTTTCATTTATTTGACTCACAAGTTTTTGATTGTTCAATGTTACGATTTGTAATTTTAAAATTTTTCATTTTTTTATTTCTTTAATTTTATGACATGCAACTCTTCGGGGTTTCATTTTTAAATTTTTCGGTTTCTTGAGTTCTCAATGTTTAATTTTTCAATGTGCTGATTTTATAATTTTCTAGTTTTCATTTTAAATATGTATTAACAATAATAATTTTAAAAGTTTTCACATTTTCAGTTATTCGATTTTTAACTTAAATCTTTCAATTTCTAGGAATTCAAATTTAAAATTCTCAGTTTTATAATTTTTCAAGTTTTAGACTTTGCAACTTTTCGTTTGGGTTTTTTTATTTTCTTTATTTTTTCAGTTTTTGGTTCATTAATTTTTTTTTCGATTATTCGATTTGCAATTTTTCATTTTTTTTTCTTTCTTGAATAACGATTGCAACTCTTCAAGTTTCCATTTTTTAACTTTTCAATTTTTCGATTTTCTTGGATGTTTCAGTTTTTAGATTTTATAGTTTTTCACTTTGCAATTTCACTTTTTGTTTTTTCGATTTGCAATTGTTTTGGTTTTTCAATTTTTAGATTTTTTTCATTTGTTGTTTCTTTTTGATTTGCAATTTTTCTACTTTTCATTTTAAACATGTAATTTTAGACTTTTTCCATTTTCCATTAATTATATTTTAAAACTTTTTCACTTATTTGGTTTTTCAATTTTTCGATTCTTGAATTTTTACTTCAAATTTTCGATTTGCAATTTTTTGTTTCGGGTTTTTATTGTCTCTATTTTTTCAATGTTCTGATTTTATAATTTTGTTTTCTTTCGATGTGGAATTTTTCAATTTTTCGATATTTCAACTTTCAGATTTTTTAATTTTTCGTTTCTTCAATTTTTTAGTTAAGTTTTCTGATTTTCATTGTAAATATCTAGTAATGATGACAATTTAAAAAATTTTTCACTCTTTCTTTTATTCGACTTCAGTTTTTAGATTTTTATTTTCCAATTTTTCATTTTCAATTATTTTCGGTTTTTATTTCCTTTATTTTAACAAGTTTTTGAATTTCCAATTTTTCGATTTTACAATTTTTTGAATTTTTCGATTTCAATTTTTTCAATTTTTCGTTTCACTTCTTTAATTTTTCGAATTTTCAATTTTTTGTCTTCAATTTTTCGGTTTGTCAATGTTCTGATTTTATGATTTTTTTTTCAAAGTACAATTCTTCAATTTTTGGAATTTTCAATATTTCGATTTCCAATTTTTTCGGTTTTCAATTGTTGATTTGTAATTTTCTAGTTTTCATTTATGTATGTCTTTTAACGTTACGGTTTTGACGATTTTATTATTTTTCGATTTTACAATTTTTGGTTTTTCCAATTATTCGATTCGATTCGTTTTTTCCGGTTCTTTAATTTTTTTCGATTTTCCACTTTTTCGATTTGACTCAAAAATGAACAAAATTGGAAAACTGTAAAACTGAAAAATCTAAACAATGGAAATCAAGAAGTTAAAAATTGATGAAGCGAAAAATTCAAAAAATGAGAAAATTAAAAATGAAAAAGTGCAAAATAAAAAAAAGAAATATTGTAAAATCGAAATATTGAAAATTAAAGAAATCGGAAAACCAAATATTCCAGAACCCTAAATTGAAATTTTGAAAAATTTAATAAACCGACAGTTGTAAAATCGAAGGAAACGTTGAAAAAATTAAGGAAATGAAGAAACGAAAAAATGTGATATAAAATCGAGAAAATGTAAACGAAAAAGTCGGGAAAATGAAAAGCAAAAAACAAGAACTTGAAAAATTGGCGAACCAAAAAAATTAAAAATTTAAAAGCTGAAAATTTTTTCCATTTTTAGAATTTTCAATGTGTCATTTAATTTTTCTAATTTTCATTGTAAATATGTAATAATAACAATTTTTAAAAATTTTCACTCTTTCGACTTCAGTTTTTCAATTTTACAATATTTCGATTTTATAATTTTTTGTTTTTCCATTTTCAATTTTTTTCAATTTTTCGTTTCTTCGCTACTTCAATCTTACGACATGCAATTCTTGCAGATTTTAAACTCATTTTTAAATTTTTGGTTTTTTCAGTTTTTTATGTTTTCAATTTTCGGTTTTTCACTGTTCTGATTTTATAATTTTTTTTCAATGCGCAATTTTTCAATTTTTGGATTTTCAATATTTCGATTTGCAATTTTTTCGGTTTTAAATTTTTGATTCGCAATTTTCTAGTTTTAATTTTAAATATGTATTAACAATTATAATTTTAAAAATCTTCCCATTTTCAGGTATTCGATTTTTAATTTTTAATCTTTCATTTTCGAGGTATTTAATTTTTCAATTTTTGGTTTCTTCAGTTCTTCGATTTTTATCAAAATTGAAAAATCAAAAACGAAAAAAAACGGAAAAGTATAAAATGAAACCTTTTGAAATCTAAACAATGGAAATTAAGAACTTAAAAAATTGATAAAATGCGAAATTCAAAAATCGACACACTCAAAAATTGCGAAAATTAAAAATGCAAAGTGCAAAATTAAAAAAAAATTAAAAATCGGAGAATTGAGAAAGACCAAAATTGAAAAAATGTGATAAAATCGAGAAAATGAAAAAATAAAAATTTAAAAGCTGAAAATCGAAAAGAAAAAATGTAACATCGAAATATTGCATATCGAAAAATGAAGAAACGAAAATTTGAAAAATTTGGAAGTCTAGAAAAAAAAAAAAATTAAAATTGAAAACCCAAAGAAACAAAAATCCAGTAGTCGAGAAGTCGAAACATCGAAAAGTCGAGAAATCGATAAATCCAAAATTAGAAACGCCAAAAACTGAAAAAAAATTAAAATCGAAAATTTGAAAAATCCTATAATTTAAAAACTGAAAAATTCGACAAATCGAAAAGACGAAAAGTCAAAAAACCGAAAAGTCGAAACTTCGAAAAACCAAAAATTTAAAAACCTGAAAAATCGAAAAAGTGCAAAATTAAAAAGAAAATGTAAAATCGAAATATTGAAAATTAAATAAATTGGAAAATCGGATAATTGAGAAAGCCCAAAATTGCAAAATCGACAAATTTAAAAATCAGAAAATCGGAGAATGAAAAATCAAAGATCGAAATTTTGAAAAATTTAATAAACGGAAGGTTCTAAAATTGAAAGAAATATTGAAATAATTAAGGAAATGAAAAAACGAAAATTAAGAACTGCAAAAATTGCGGAAAAATGAAAACTGTAACATCGAAAAATTACATTTCGAAAAGTGAAGAAACGAAAAATTTAAAAATTTGGAAGTCGAGAAAAAAAATTAAAATTGAAAAACTCAAAGAAACAAAAAGTCAGTATACCAGAAATCGAAACATCGAAAAGTCGAGAAATAGAGAAATCATAGAAGCCGAGATATCGAAAAATCGGAAATTTAGAAACGCCAAAAACTGAGAAAAATTAAAAACGAAAACTAAAAAAGCAAACAATTAAAAATGGAGCAACAAAAAATCGTGAAATTACAAAATTGGAAAAGTCGAAAAACTGAAAAATCGAAGAATCGAAAAGCCGAAAAACCGAAAAATCGAAATTTGGAAAAGCCGTAGATTAAATAAAACTGAAAAAGTGAAAAAACAAAAACCTGAAAAATCGAAAAATTGAAAACGCAAAAAATGGTAAAATTGATTAATCGAGAAATTGAAAAATCATAAAAATTCCTACACTGAAATATGTATTGAAAATTTAAAAGAACGAGAAACGAAAAATCGAAAAGCCGAAAGACTGAAAATTGGAAAAATGAAAAATCGGAAAAATTTGGAAGTCGAGAAAAAAGTTAAAATTGAAAACTCAAAGAGACAGAAATCCAGTAGTCGAGAAGTCGAAACGTCGATCGAGAAATCGATAAATTGAAAATTAGGAAACGCCAAAAATTGAAAAAAAAATCGAGAACCAAAAAAGCAAAAAATTTTAAAAATCGAGAATTCCAAAAATAAATGCAGGTTTTTCGAAAAATTATAAGATTTGATTCTGCGAATTTTATATTTTGAAATGACGTCATCAATTTTTTGGGAGGGGATAAACGAATAAATTTTGATTTGCAATTTAGCATTAGACGGTATCTCATTTGCCAAAATCTGTCTTATCTTAGCAGGTACTAGTCCCGCCCACCCACCCTCTTTTTTCTTATAGGGTATCTCATCTGCCAAAATCGGTCTTATCTTAGAAGCCACTAGCATAACTTTAAAACGTTTGCAAAATTCCAGAACATTCGGTTTCAGTTTCAAAATGTTATAAGTACAATTTTGATTTTTTTTCCAAAAATCTGGATATCTAGGATAAGAACTGAACACGGATTCATACATCACAAGTGCAGGAGCATCTTATTTTATAAAAATGAAAAAAAGGCATTCATTCTAGTCTGTACACACATGAGTCTGTACTATTTTTATATTAAACAAAAAAGTGAAAAAAATTAAGTGACTATGGTACTGGACTCACCTTTCGTAGTGCCTTCTTATAACCGTAGCAGCGCTCGTGCTATTGGCGTGCCCACTCATATCGTCAAAAATCGACTTCCATAACCGGTTGGTGGTGACCGCATCGTACCCCCCCAGCTTATGGACCTTCGTGTAAAACGAGTACAAATCCACTGAAAATCAACCCTTCAATCCAAACCCACTCCTTCTCTCCCCAACTCACGTTCTTTGTACCCCAGCGACGGGATCTTCCCGATCGGGGTATAGTTCGTCTTCATGAACACCATCAGCTCCTTCAGGAACTCCTTGCTTTCGTTATTCTCCACGGCTCGCGTGCTGCGCCTCAAGTGGGTCGCGTCGCAGCGGATCCCGTTCTTGCCGCTCTCCTCCGTGGCGACCTTCTCCTAGAAACAAAATTAGTCCAGAGTTCTACACCAAGTCAGCGCACCCCACCTTCGACGAGTTGAACACATTGGATACCGAAGATTCCGATTCGTTGCTCTCCGATCCCGGGGAGACGCTTCGTTTTTTCCGCTTGCCCCTCGGCCGGCCTTTGAGCTTCGGGGCGAGATGGTTGCAGAGGAGTTCGTGGCCTTCTAGCTCGGGGTAGTCGAAGGTGTCCTTGCAGAAGAGGACGCGGGTGTTTTTGGTGTAGGCGGTGAAGCCTCCCAGGGCGTTTACTATTTTGTATTTGAGGTATTCGTTCTCGACGCCTTCGAGGCGGCGCATCATGGCGCGGTACCTGCAGTAGCGGGGATAGCTGAGGATCACCACTGGAGGGCCGGTGGTGTCGGAGGTGCAGTCTGGAAAGGGGTGGATTTGATTTAGATATTGTTTTTTTTAAATCAGTGCGACTTTGGCGAAAAACGGTACTAACTATCTTATCCAGAGATATGAGTTTTTGGTCAATAACTTAAAAACGGTTCACGGAAAAAAAAGATAGGAAGTACGTCTAAAAAATTATCAATCTGGATTGTAAGTGTGTTATAAAAATATTTGTTACAAAAACAAGAGCAAAGGAAATTCTATAAATAAATAAAAGTTTCGCAGGGGTGCCTTCTCGCGTCCTCGCTATTCACGCCTTATGTAAACGACTTACTGAAACTAGAAAACACAGAGTCAAAGACGAGATCAACTCTGGACTACAGAAAACGCCAAACGTAGAACTAGATTAGAGAAGATTCCAAAGGCATTGTACAACGAGTGGGCTCTGAAATTTCGGGAATATTAATTATAACCTAACTGTCATAATTTTTTCAGTCCGTCTGCTGCTTGATACGTAGGCAACCAATATTTCAAGTCGGAACGCAGATTTCTAGGAAAAAAATTAAATAACAATAAAAATTGGATACAAAAGGGATTCAATTAAGTTCTTGGATATAACTCCTAAAATCTCTGGGATAATTCTACAAAAAAAACCAAGGTCAAGGATATCTAAAATCGATTGGACCTTCATTATCATGACGGACAAGATAGGGATGGGTAAATGGAAACAGTAAAAAAAAGAACGATTTAGAAATAAGAAAGGAACTAAGGAAAAGAGAAAAAAGTAGAAAAAAAAAGGGAATAAGGAAGAAAAGCTGAAAAACAGTGAAATAAAAGAGGAAGAAAGAAATGGGAAGGAGAAGAAAAGGGAAGAAAAAATGGGAAGGGATAAAGAAAGAAAAAAGGAAGGGAGGAAGAAAGGTAGGAAGCATACGCCAGAATGTTTGAAAAACCATATACAGTTTCGGTCACAAAATTTTGGACAGTTGTCATTCCAGTGGCATAAGCTCTAAAACAGGCTTTACGTACTTATAACCTCAAATTTACCATGTTTATCATTTTGGCGTAGACTGGAATGTCGATGGTGACGTATGTCTAAATTTATTTTTTAAAAGTGTCAATCATTATGACAATAAAGCATAAACTATATACCGTGTTTTTTTAAATGACAGAAAAATACTGCCCAAAATTTTCTGACCGAAACTGTATCACGAAGATAAAATCAAGAACGGGTCCATGAAGCACATGACAGGAAAGGGTAGAAGCACACAGAAAGAAAGAAAGAGAGAAAGAAAGAAAGGAATAAGGGCAGGAAGAAGAAATAAAAAGAGAAAAAAGGAAGAAATAGGGAAGAAGCAAGAAAGCAAAGAATCAAGGTAGAAGCAACCGCCAGAATGTTTGAAAAACTATATAACACGAACAGAAAATCAAGGACGAGTCCATGAAGGTCAGGATAGAAGTGGGTAAAAGTATACAGAAAGAAAGAAAGAGAGAAAAAAGGAATTAAGTAAGGAAGAAAAATGAAGAAGAAATGAAAAGAAAGGAAAAAAAATGGTCGAAAGTTGTTTCGATAGAACTTCCCTCGCCCTTGAAATACAATAAAACAAATCCAGCTTTTTCGAAAAATTATTAAATTTGATTTTGCGAATTTTATTTTTTATGAGAACCCTTATAAGTTAAAATAAAAATATGTATGTAAGGTCAAAGTAAATGTAAAGGAGTGTGTTGGGCGTACGTTCCAAATGCGTTTTTCTTTAACAATATTTGTGACAAAAAAAGACAACAATCGGTCCAGTAGTTTTGGAGATTACTTGTGTAATAAAATGGATACAGACACCAGACAGACAGACAGACGGACAGACGGAAACGGGAGACCACTTTTTCGTACTGTAGAGGTCATCACACGTTGAAAAAATATGAAAGTGACCATTCGCCCGATGGACTCGATTATTATACTTCATTAGCTTATGCTCGGGAAGTAAAAAGAATGGGTCCATGAAGGACAGGATAGGAATGGGTGGAAGCACACAGAAAAAAAGAAAGAGAAATGGAGGGAATATGGAATAAAAGGTGAAGAAAAAAAATGAAGAAAAAACGGAGGATGAAAGAAAGCAGAAAATCAAAAACGAGGCCATGAAGGACAAGATAGGAACACACATAGAAAGAAAGAAATAGAAAAAAGAAACAAAGGAATTAAGGAAGGAAGAAAAAAGGAGGGAATATGGAAGAAACGGCGAAGAGAAAATGGAAGAAAAAAGGACCATGAAGGATAGCAAAGGGTAGCAGCATACAGAAAGAAAAAAAGAAAGGAAAAAGAAAGAGAAAAAAGGGATGAAGGAAGAAAAAGTAGGAGGGAATAACGAAGAACAGGTGCAGAAAAAATGGAAGAAAAAAGGAAGAACGAAATGGGAAAAGAACAAAAATGAAAAAAGGAAGAAAAAAAGAAGGATGAAAGAAAGCAAAAAATCATGAAGGACATGTCAAAAAGGGAGAAAAAGTGCTGAAAAAAGATGAGAATAATAGAAGGGAAGGAAGAAAGAAAAAAGCAAGAGGGCAAGGAATCAAGGAACAGCAAAGGAAGAAAAAATGGGGAGAACGAAGACGGAAAGCATGAAAAAAAGAATAAGACAGAAAAGAAGAAAGAAAGAAAAAAGAAAGTGAGGACTCAAGGAAGCAGGGGAGACAGAGAGAAAAAATGGAAGAACAGAAGATAGAAAATGGAAAAAAAGGAAGAAAAAACGAAGCAAAAAAGAAGGATGGAAGAAAGCAGAAAATCATGAAGGACAAGATATGAATGGGTAAACGCACACAGAAGAGAAGAATGAAAGAAATAGAAGAAAGAAAGAATAGGGAATATGGAAGAAAAGGTGAAGATAAAATGGAAGAAAAAAAGACGGAAGTGAGAAAAAAGAAATAGAAAATCAAGAAAGGGTCCATGAAGGATAGGAATGGGTAGCAGCATACAAAAAAAAAAGAAAGAAAGAAAGTAAAAAGAAAGGGATGAAGGAGGAAAAAAAGAGGAAATATGAAAAGGTAAAGAAAAAAATGGAGAAAAAAGGAAGAAAGAAATGGGAAAAAAGAAGAAAAATGGACAAAAAAGAAAGAAATAAAGAAAGAAAGAAAGAAAGAAAGAAAGAAAAGGAGAAAAGAGGTAGAAAAATGGAAGTCAAAAAGTGGGAAAAAGAGGTGAACAAAGAGAAAAATGAGAGAAGGAAAGGAAGAAAGAAAAAAGCAAGAGGGAAAAGAATCAAAGAACAGCAAAGGAAGAAAAAATGGGGAGAACGAAAACGGAAAGCATGAAAAAAAAAGGAATACAAATAAGGAAGAAAAAAGTTAGGAAAAAATGAAAAAAAAGAATAAGACAGAAAAGAAGAAAGAAAGAAAAAAGGAAGTGAGGATTCAAGAAAACATGGGAGACATAAAGAAAGAAAGAAAGAAAGAAAGAAAGAAAGAAAGAAAAGGAGAAAAGAGGTAGAAAAATGGAAGTCAAAAAGTGGGAAAAAGAGGTGAACAAAGAGAAAAATGAGAGAAGGAAAGGAAGAAAGAAAAAAGCAAGAGGGAAAAGAATCAAAGAACAGCAAAGGAAGAAAAAATGGGGAGAACGAAGACGGAAAGCATGAAAAAAAAAGGAATACAAATAAGGAAGAAAAAAGTTAGGAAAAAATGAAAAAAAAGAATAAGACAGAAAAGAAGAAAGAAAGAAAAAAGGAAGTGAGGATTCAAGAAAACATGGGAGACATAAAGAAAGAAAGAAAGAAAGAAAGAAAGAAAGAAAGAAAGAAAGAAATGAAGGAAGAAGGGGAAATGGAGGGAATATGGAATAAAAGGTGAAGAAAAAATGGAAGAACAGAAGATACAAAATGGAAGAAAATAAGGAAAAGGAAAAAAAGGAAGGAAAAACGAAGCAAAAAAGAAGGATGGAAGAAAGCACCAAATCATGATGTACAAGATAGGAATGAGTAAACGCACACAGAATGAAAGAATGAAAGAAATAGAAGAAAGAAAAAAAAGAGTTAAGGAAGGATAAAAGAAAGAAAAAGGTGAAGGACGAAGAAAAGAGGAAATAAGAAAAGGTAAAGCAAAAATGGAATAAAAAAGGAAGAAAGAAATGGGAAGAAAAGAAGAAAAATGCACAAAAAGGAAGAAATGAAGAAAGAAAGAAAGAAAGAAAGAAAGAAAGAAAGAAAGAAAGAAAGAAAGAAAGAAAGAAAGAAAGAAAGAAAGAAAGAAAGAAAGAAAGGAAGGAATTAAGGTAGGAAGTAAACGTCAGAATGTTTGAAAAACTATATAACAAGAACAGAAAATGAAGAACGGGTTCATGAAGGGCAGGATAGGAATGGGTAGAAGAACACAGAAAGAAAGCAAGAACGCAAAAAAGTAAGAAATGAAAGAAGAAAGATGAAAGAAAGAAAATGGAAAAGAAGAAAAAAGGAACAAAAAAGGAACTTTAAAAGGGTGAAAAAGGGGTGAAAAAAGAAAAAAATAAGAGAAGGAAAATAAGAAAGAAAAAAGCAAGAAGGCAAGGAATTAAAGAAGAGGAAAAGAAGAAAAAATGGAGGAAGGAGGAAAGCATGAAAAAAGGAAAAGGAATACAAATAAAGAAGAATAAAGGTAGGAACAAATAAAGAAAAGAATAAGACAGAAAAGAAGAAAGAAAGAAAAAAGAAAGCAAGGATTCAAGGAAGTAGGGGAGACAGAAAGGAAGCAACTGTCAGAATGTTTGAAAACCTATATAAAAGTATATAACTCAGAAAATCAAGAACGAGACCACGAAGGACGTAATAGGAATGGGTAGAAGGACCCAGAAAGAAATACTAAGAGTACAAAAAAAATCGAAAGAAAGCAAGTAAGAAATCGAGGAAGCAAGGCGTCAAGGAAGGAAGAAAAAGGAAGAAAAATGAATGAAAAAAATGGTGAAAAAAGAAGCATAAAGGAAGAAAAAAAGTTAAAGAAAAAGGAAGCAAGAGAACAGGGAACGAAAAAAGCAGCTCCCAGAGTGTTTGAAAATATTAAATAATACGAACACAAAATCAAGAAAGATAGGATAGAAAGGGGTAGAAGCACACAGAAAGGAAAACTGAAGGAACGAAATATTGAAAGAACGAAAGACTGAAAGAGACAGAAAGAAAAAAATCACGGATGCATGGGGACAAGGAAGAAAGAAAAAGGAAAAAAAATGGTAGGGGTAGAGAAAAGGGGTAGAAAAAAGGGGAAAAAGAAGAACAGAAAAAAGAAAACAAGCAACCAATTAAGGAAGCAGTTGGCCAAGGACGGAAAAAAAATGGATGAAAAATGAAGAAACGAAGAAAAAAGTAGAGAAAAAACGAAGGAATAAGTAACAAAAAAGACAAAGGGAAAAAATGGAAGAAAGAAAGACAGAAAGCAATGAATCAAAGAACAGCAAATCAAGAACGGGACCAAGGAAAATAGAATAGGAATGGGTAGAAGAACCCAGAAAGAAATACTACGAGTACAATGAACAAACGAAAGAAAGCAAGTAAGGAATCGAGGAAGCAAGGGGGTAAGGAAGGAAGAAAAAGGAATCCAAATGGATGAAAAAAGGAATCCTAAAAGATGAAAAAAGAAGCACAAAGGGAGAAAAAAGTAAAAAAAACGGTAGAGAAAAAGGAAGAAAAAGTTAAAAGAAAAAAAGAGAAAGAAAGCAAGGCATCAAAGAAGCCAAAGAACAGGGAACGAAAGAAGCAACTGCCAGTATTTGAAAAAATTATATAACACGAACACAAAATCAAGAACGGGACCCTGAAAGATAGGATAGGAATGGCTAGAAGCACGCAGAAAGAAAGACTGAAAGAGAGACAGAAGGAAAGAAATCAGGGAAGCACGGGAACAGGGAAGGAAGAAAAAAGGGGGAAACAAGGAAAAAGGAAGATAAAGGGAAGAAAGAAAGAAAGAAAAAGGGAATAAAAAAGTAGAAAGGAAGAAAAAATGGTGGGGGGAAAGAAAAGGGGAAGAAAAAAGGAGAAAAAGAAAACAAGCAACGAATCGAGGAAGCAAGTGGTCAAGGAAGGAAGAAAAAATGGATGAAAAAAGAACAAACGAAGAAAAAAGTAGCGAAAAAAAGGAAGTATAAAGTAAGAAAAAAGACAAAGGAAAAAAATGGAAGAAAGAAAGAAGAAAGGAAGACAGAAAACAAGGAATCAAAGCAACCAGAGAACAAGGAACGAAACAAGCAACTGCCAGAATGTTTGAAAAACTATATAACACGAACAGAAAATCAAGCACGAGGACAGGAATCGATTCAAGCACATAGAAAGAAAGACTGAAAGTAGGAGAGAAAGTAAGAAATCGGGGAAGCCAGGGGGAAAGGAAGGAAAAAGGAAGAAAAAGGGAAGAAACAGGAAAAAAAAAAGAAAATAAAAATAAAACAAGAAAAAAGCAATTGGGCAAGGAAGAAAGAAAAAGAGAGGAAAGCAAAAAAAAGGAAGAAAAGGGGAAGAAAAAGGAAACAAAAAAGAAGAAAAAAACGAAAGAAAGGAAGAAAGAAAAAGGGAATAGAGAATCCAAATCGCAAGAAACAGTCATTAGAAACAAAGATGTCTGCAACAACAGTGAGAAAGACCACGAAATGATTATGGAAGAAAATAAATAGCGAAGAAATAAATTCTGGTCGGTAATAGACGGAAATTCTGACATTACCTTGGGATTACAACTACAAAATATTAGTTCTCCCTCTTCCCCCCATTCTCTATCTTCGTCTCTGTTTGTATAGAGTAATTCAATGCATTATATCGCACTTTGAGTGTTTTTCTTTCATATTTTGGGTCAAAATGTCAAGGGCAAACGACAGGTAAAAAGTTGTAAATTAAAACATCTTGATCGGAAAACAATATACTATATATTTAAATAATTTGATTTTAATGACTAATGCTTAGAAATGGAGTATGAATGTTGAAACAGTAACCGCATTTTTTCGTTAAAACCAACTTTATAAACAATTGTAACTCGACTGAAGAACAATAATAATTGTTAATAACGGGTGATTTTTTAAATTTGGAATCTAGTTATCGAAAAATTTAATGAATCGCAACTTCACAATACAACCTGAAAATGGCTAAATTTAGAAAGCTAGGTTATGTTATAAGAACTAAACCCTCGTTGGATTTAAAACGATTTATTTATGTTAAGTAACATATTTAATTGAATTTACAACAATTGCTGGAAGTGTTGACCCCCAACTTCGATTTTTCGACTTTAATTTACGTCATTAAGACACTAGATTATAGGCAACCCACTATACACAAGTTGTGTGTTTTAAGAGATAACCTACGTGATTTGGTGACTAATGACCAGAGAAAACTAGAGCACAAATCAAAAACCTCCACGAATTATCCCAGCAGCGAAATTTTCTCTACAGCAATCACACACCACCCCATCGCTCCGCTAGAATAAGCTTAATTGAATTAATTTAACTGTACAATACGTAACAATCGGCATTGATGATAACAACATAATTAATCTTCCGCTCCGTGATCGCTCCATACTTGACCCAAAACTTTTTCGCAAATAAATACACAAATAAGCGCGAAAAACATTCCACTTTATTTGTATTTCCACCAGAAACAAATACCATGAAATAAACATAAACCGCATAGCGTAATAACGTGCCGAGTTTAAGAGTGAACGTCCCATTAATTCTAAGTTGATAACAAATGTAGTAAATTCCGGAATTCGCCCTCAAAACAGAACAAAATGTTTAAAATTAAGTTTCCCAAGTGTTTGAAAGCACGTATTAACTGGGAGTTTTCAATAGCAATATCTTTTCCTGGTAGGAAGAATCTGTCACAATGCCGAGATTAATTGAAACTTGGTTGCTGCGTCGGGTTTTCAGGAGATTGCAGCACACGATGCATTAAATTAAACACGGGAAAATGCGTTCTCGAAGTGTTTACAAACGACTTTATTCGGACGAATATTGATATCTCTAGTTTTAAAAAGTTTATCACTTACGTGGCCCTGGATATCACTATTCCACAAAACCTCTAGTCTCCATGTTTAATTTTAAAATGGAATAACAATCGATGCGATAACAATACTACACTTGATTTCAGGGTGCCCCCATAAACCGCACTATATAAAAGAAAATCGACATAAATTCACGCAGTTTTAGGTGCTGTTCCACCATTCGTGGTTTCAGAATTAAGTGTTCAGGTGAGGTGTCCATAATTCGGAATTATATTCTAAATAGGTCACAAGTCACCGAAGTTTTTTTTAATACCGGATACTCCTCCAAAATTACCGTTTAGTCGACTCTTGAAACGAATTAATTAATTGAACAATAACATAAATAAACGAAATTATTCACTATTGTGTGCACTTTGTTTGAATTAGAAAAATACTTCAGGACTGGTCAATTCATTATTTACGGTCCGTTATTATTAATATATTAGTTAATGTAAATTACGGTATGAACATTGTATTGTATTTGTCCGAACGCATTTATGCTTATATTATTTGCTACTTTAATTAAGTAAAGAGCTTCACCGGCAAATGCAATTAATTTAATGAGATATGTAGTTGTAACGAACTGCACTAAACCGTACAGACAACTTAAACATACCGATATTGTAAAGTTTTCATTTAATCAGTGTGCAATGATGAATAGGGTTTAATACGGGTCAGAGTATATGGGCAACATTGCATCATCGTCGCTAGTCGTACAAATCTATTTATGTGTGTAAACAATGTAAACTGGTATACGTTTTCACGAATATTAGTTATTGCAAGGATCAATATTTCAATTTTGGGTGAAGGTGGATTTTGTCTATTGAATTGTTGCAATAATGTACAGGATACATTGTTAAAAAACATGCGACGAAAAGATTGGGGCACTGAGTTGGCTGTAATTAATTATAAAAATTGCAGTTGGCAATGCTGATTATAATTTAATTTAATATTTTTTACAATTCCAATTCAATGAAGAAATCCTTGCTCTAATATATTTTTTGTTTTTTTTTTAATATAAATCTGAAAGTTTCATTAAAAAATAGAAATAAAACTTTGGTGTGTAAAAAATTAAACTAACGATTTCCAAATTTAATCACCCTGTATAAATAAGCTTCAATATTGGATGTTAAGGCACAATAATTAAAACTTTTTAGGCAAAATTCCGAACAACCATCTTTCAAAAAGGCGGAGGTCTGAGTTGTTAAATATGACGTTTTTTGCCACAAAAATGCTTGTGTCTAACATAACTTTTCTATTTTATAAAAATATACAAGATGTTTCATTTAAAAATATTCGAAATCTGTAAACGAAACCGTCCTAAAAGACTCGATTTTCGATATAGTCTATGGTAAATTTTTTGTAATCATCTATTGTTAGAACACTCTGTATAAAGCTTCATTTTACAACGATTATTAAGTTTGTTTTTTTCGATCGCTAGGTGTAACCTTATTACGAAATTTGATTATTTTCCCATTTTTTAAATGAGACATCGTGTATCATTTAACATTTTGGAAAACATTTCCAAGTAATTTTTTTTTAAATAATTATTTTAATTAAAAAATTGAGGTTGATCGATTTTTTTTTAATTATTGTTAACATGGATTTCAACAAATCTGCCATCAAAAGAAAGCTTACGTAAAAACAAGTCCGAAAATGCCATAAAATACAGGATGTCCCATTTGACAAATACGAGAAAACTGACAATTTCCAAATTTAATCATCCTGAATAAATAACTTTAAACCTTTTTTGACGTTTGTTAAGACAAAGCAGTCAAAAAGTTTTGCGTAAAATTCTTAACGTCCATTTTTAAAAATGGCGGAGCGGTGATTCTTTTAAATATGAACATATTTTACACAAAAATGCAAATTCGACCAAAAATCCTGGTATCCAAGATAAATTTTCTATTTTTTTTATTCACTCTGAATCTAAACCTTCAAAAATATACAGGACGTTTCATAAAAAAAAGAAAAAAAAAATACAATTTTGGTGTGCTATCTGTAAAAAGAACGGCTACAAATAACTTCCATTCTTTTTTCTTTCGATAATTTTAAGTACAAATTTTTTGGAGATCTATTTAGAAAAACGTAAAATTTAAAAAGAAAACAGATTAAAGAGACGAGAAATCGAGAAATTGAAAATTAAAAAAATTGACAAAATTAAGAATCGAAAAATCGATGAAAATTTGAAGAATTAAAAAACTGAAATCCGAAAACTGAAACATCGAAATATGTATCGAGAAATCGAAGATTTGAATTTTTCAATTTCTTGATTTTTCAGTTTTACAATTTTGCAGTTTTTCCTTTTTACAGTTTAATAAATTTCCGAGTTTACAATTATCCGATTTTCCATTTTTGTAATTTTACAATTTTTTAGTTTTGCAAGTTTCTGATTTTTCAGTTTAATTATTTTACAATTTCTCGTTCTTAAAGCTTATGACTTTTCTAATTTTTCAATTTTACAATTTTACAATTTTTGAATGTCTCAATTATTCGGTTTTTAAAAAATCAATTTCGCAATTTCAATTTTATAATTCTTCGTTTTTCAATTTTTCAAGTTTCATTTTTACTTCAACGAATTTCAATCCAATTTTCCAATTTTGTAATTTTGCAATTTTTTTGATTTTACAATTTTACATTTTTACAATTTTTGGTTTCTCAGTTGTCCGGATTTCAATGAATCAATCTTTTAATTTTCAATTATATAATTCTTTTTTCCCAATTATGAGAATTTCATTGTACGATTTTTAAAATTGTTGATTTTTAATATTTCAAAATTTCGAATTCTCATATTCCAGGTATTTAATTTTTAAATTTCATAATTTTATCATTTTTCGATTTTTCAAGTCTGTAATTTTACAATTTTTCAATTTTGCAATTGTACAGCTTTTGATTAATCAATTTTTCAATTATGAGATTTTTTTTTTCTCGAGTTTTGAGTTTGTTGATTTTTCATTTTTTAATTGTCTGATATTTGAATTTTAGAAATTTTAAGGTTTCATTTTTCATTTTATAGTTATTGGATTTCAATTTTGTGATTTTAAAAAATTTCAATTTTGTAATTCTTTGTTTTTTTTTTGTTTCAAAATTTCGATTTTCAATTTTATATTTTCACAATTTCACGATTTTGTAACGTTTTAAATTCTCAGTTCTATAATTTTGCAGTCTTTCATTTTTTCAGTTTAATAATTTTTTGATTTCACAATTACTTGTTCAATTTTTCAATTTAGTAGTTTTACAAATTTTCAATTTTTTGAACTTCAATTGTTCAAAATTTCAATTTTAATTTTTCAAGTTTTTGATTTTTCAGTGTAATTATTTTACAAATTTTCGTTTTTAAATGCATCTGATTTTGCAATTTTTGATTTTTAATACTTCAAAATTTCGATTTCCAATTTTCCAAATTTTTGATTTTTCAATTTCATAATTTTACAGTTTTGGACTGTCAGTTTTTGGATTCGAAAAATCGAGGAATCGAAAAGTAGAAAAATCGAGAAGTCGAGAAATAGAAACATCCAAAAGTCGAAAAATGGAGAAAAATCGATAATTTGGAAACGCCAAAAATTATCCTGAATAACTTTAACACTTTAAACCTTTTTTGACGTATGTTAAAACAAAGGAGTCAAAAAGTTTTGTGTAAAATTCTTAGCGTCCATTTTTAAAAATGGCGGAGAGGTAATTTCTTTTAAATATGAACATTTTTTACACAAAAATGCAAATTCGACCAAAAATCCTTGTATCCACGATACATTTTCTACTTTTTTTATTCATCCTGAATCTAAATCTTCAAAAATATATAGGACGTTTCATAAAAAAAAAATACAACTTTGGTGTGCTATCTGTAAAAAAAAAAATTTTTTTTTCTTTGGATAATTTTAAGTACAAATTTTTTGGAGATTTATTTAGAAAAATGTAAAATTTAAAAAGAAAATAGATTAAAGAGACGAGAAATCGAGAAATTGAAAATTTAAAAAATTGACAAAATTAAGAATCGAAAAATCGATGAAAATTTGAAGAATTGAAAAACTGAAATCCCAAAACTGAAACATCGAAATATGTATCGAGAAATTGAACATTTGAATTTTTCAATTTCTTGATTTTTCAGTTTTACAATTTTGCAGTTTTTCCTTTAATTTATCCGATTTTCCATTTTTGTAATTTTACAATTTCTCGTTCTTAAAGCTCATGACTTTTCTAATTTTTCAATTTTACAATTTTACAATTTTTGGATGTCTCAATTATTCGGTTTTTAAAAAATCAATTTCGCAATTTCAATTTTATAATTCTTCGTTTTTCAATTTTTCAAGTTTCATTTTTACTTCATCGAATTTCAATCCAATTTTTCAATTTTGTAATTTTGCAATTTTTTTGATTTTACAATTTTACATTTTTACAATTTTTGGTTTCTCAGTTGGCCGGATTTCAATGAATCAATCTTTTAATTTTCAATTATATAATTCTTTTTTCCCAATTATGAGAATTTCATTGTACGATTTTTAAAATTGTTGATTTTTAATATTTCAAAATTTCGAATTCTCATATTCCAGGTATTTAATTTTTAAATTTCATAATTTTATCATTTTTCGATTTTTCAATTCTGTAATTTTCCAATTTTTCAATTATGAGATTTTTCTTTTTCTCGAGTTTTGAGTTTGTTGATTTTTCATTTTTTAATTGTCTGATATTTGAATTTTAGAAATTTTAAAGTTTCAAAATCTTTAGATTTTTCAATTTTTTAATTTTAAATGTTCAAAATTTCAATTTTTGAATTTTAAATGTTCAAAATTTCAATTTGAATTTTTTAAGTTTCAATTTTGTAATTCTTTGTTTTTTTGTTTCAAAATTTCGATTTTCAATTTTATATTTTCACAATTTTACGACTTTGTAACGTTTCAACTTCTCAGTTCTATAATTTTGCAGTCTTTCATTTTTACAGTTTAATAATTTTTTGATTTCACAATTACTTGTTCAAATTTCAATTTTAATTTTTCAAGTTTTTGATTTTTCAGTGTAATTATTTTAAAAATTTTCGTTTTTAAATGCATCTGATTTTCCAAATTTTTGATTTTTCAATTTCATAATTTTACAGTTTTGGACTGTCAGTTTTTGGATTTGAAAAATCGAGGAATCGAAAAGTAGAAAAATCGAAAAGTCGAGAAATAGAAATATCCAAAAGTCGAAAAATGGAGAAAAATCGATAATTTGGA